GTGGAATCCGAGGTGAATCATCAATCAGCCTGAAGTGGAAGATTAACGAACCAAGCCCGATCAGAATTAATTTGAAACTCCCTCAGTCCACCAAAGCAAGATTTTGACAACTTCACTAACCGACAGAGCCGTTAATTGACAGTCAATACTGATCTAGTGTGATAATCGGAAGAGGACTGATTTACTGATTGGTTCCCCGTCTGCCTTATAATCTGGCCAATTCGGTGACCTGCTCACTTGGCCTGATGAAGCTCTTGTGTCAAAAGCAAAACGTTGCCCAAATAAAAATAAAAAGCTCCTCTGAAACAAGGCTCAACCCAATTTATAGAACGAGTGACTGACTGTTCCACTGCTTTCGCAAAATTAGACGACTAAGTAGGTTGATTCCGAATGCTTCGAAAAGTTCCTAGGAGTATGAACCGCTGGTCTGTGAACATCACTCGTTGTTTAGGTAAAGGCTTTGCCGCACTTACCATGCCTGACGTGTTTTCTTGTAGATGGTGGATAAATCCATTGGATACTTGATAATTTTTCGGTAAAAGGGAACTTGCTTCAAATTGACTGGCTTTCGGAAGGCCCAGGACGCCTGGTGATTAATAAGGTCTTTTGTAACCATTCTGAAATAAAGGCATACGTATGCCGGTATCAAATGAAGACCATCTACACTCAACACTTGCACTTAGGTGAATAAAAAACATGGCTGTCATTATCTTATGAATGTCTTCTATTTGTATCAGGTGTGTAGCTCTAGCAACATGGCAGCCTCTTGAAAAGTAAAATCATCCTCAGGGATTTGATAGCAACTCTTTGAATGCATCAATCTAGCTGAGTAATATCTGGGGAACGAAGAAGCGAAATTTTGAAGGGCATCAGATAAAAAGCATGTTACGGTCAATTATGTTGCCAACACACGTGAAAAATAGGGATAAAATCGTTATTTGACAACCCATCACCCCAATTTATCGTCGGATAGAAGATAAGCACACTATGGCGCTTTCAGTTGAAAACGCAGCTCAACAAATCTGCCCAGTTTCCGGATTTCAGAAAGCTTTCCGATACCGATTGATGGTACCTGGCAAAACGGATCTTTTATACTGCACGTGGATCAGCCATGGATCAGTTCCAATTGTCCATACATTGGGTCTGTGAATCAAGCATCTAGGAATTTTAGCATCCCCAATGGTTTTGGTAACCATAGACAGAACGATCTGAAGGATCGAATTCACTCCAATGACCTGCTGTTAATTGTTATCACTCCTTATTCCAACTCTGAGGTGTGTCGACAATCAGCTATTGTGTGGCGTGCCATCTCCAAGCCCCGTTTTACACAACCTACCCAACGTAATCCCACCTCATGCTTGGATGCGTGTTCACAATGGGTAATCTGCTGTTCGCTGATTACGTCCATCAACTGAAAACTCTTCAAAGTAGGCTCCTCTTATTGTAAACGGGATGGCTTACTGAGGGCTATCATACCAATTGGAAGAGTTTTCGAACTTATTCCAGCTTTCCAACTTCACATGATGAGGGCTCGCTCTCTGATGTCATTCCGAATGAAACCTTCAGCTCCCGAAGCATTAAACAGGTAGATATTTGCCTTAACATGGACAGAACTCATCAATCCTCCTTCCTGAATGAGTTCATTCCGAAGATAAGATGCTAAACTGCTTCAAAAGAATTCCGGCGGCTTAATTATCACATCTGCCTGTAGCATGTGATATCCCGATTCAGTATATTGTGCCGCCCACTGAGGCTTGTCCACCTAACTGTGGACCTTGTCTCACCGCTTTGGGGTGGATCCACCAAATTTCGTCGGTAATCACCGATAAAGCCATTTTCTAAGCTATCTTGATTCCTGATACACACACATCAAGTGTCTGAGGAGGCACTTTCAACTCAGGTGCAAACCACTCCGCTGCTTCCAGCGCAGTGTCCAGGAAGATTTACCTCCATGTAACATATCTATTTATCGAAAAAGAACTTGATCCAATTTTCATGGTTCTTACCTTTGTTAAGCTCCGTGACTACATCTGAAACTTCGATTTTGTGCCGAACGTCGACTGTCTTTATATCTTTCAATCTTCACACAAAAAGTGAGAGCAAAGCCTGTATGAGGAATAGTTATCAGTCATACTCAGCTGACCCGGTACGGATCCTCCGACACCAATCTACACGAGCTATGGTCCTGAGATAAAGATTGCTAAACACCTGAAGAGTTCTCAGTTCCGCTGATCGAAAAGGTGAAGTCTCACAACCATAAAACATAAAACCTAGCGCTGTAGCTTGATATACACGTCCCTTGAGATTCAAAACATACCGCTTCCATAGACGTGACGTCTCAAATTAGCAAACGCGACCCGAGCCTTGCAGATTCGTGAATCCACCTTATCTATCACACTACAATCAGAACTATTGCAACTTCCAAGGTAAACACTCCCCCAATTTAGAGTGCCGGGGTGAACCAGTTCATCCAAAAACACCTGTTTACTCCTTTATGATCCTTGATGCTTTCTCTCACAGATGGTTTCCGGGGACAGATCGTGAGGATCGAATGAAATAATCTGCGGGCATTACAGGCTTTCTAAGCTTCATCCATTTCCTTGGCTTTCTGTGTCCGTTAGACTTCACCGTCGATTCACACGCCAACTTCCGATTGAAGTCTGATGGTTTATCACGTCAAGTTTTTCCGGACAGGCCGTGATATTTCTCCGAGATCTAAGCAGTTCCAATGTTCGGTCTGACATCCAGTACTTGAGTGAACCTGGTAGCATCGTGCCACAAGCAAAACTCCCAGAACTGTGCAAAGGGGTGGCATCCTCCTCCCAGTATGTATTCACGTCTGATGGTGGAGCATTTGGAAGACTCCGGAAGACGCTTCTGGCAAATCCGGTTAACATCCGGATCTTCCAGTCTTTCTGTTACCAGGAAATTTTTCCGCACCTCACGCGGTCCTGAAAAACGAAGGGAGAAGCGACTCCGGACAAGCGCGTGGTCAGAATTCAAAAATGTGTTCAAAACGACCGGTAGTAAGTTACTGATTTGCGCCATCGGTGACTGATGACTATGTGATCAATTTGAGTTCGTGACCGGCAAGCCGTTGAAGGACACAGTATGGCCAGATGACGTCGGCTACTTTGGAAGTACTGTATAAGAACAGTTTGCGATCAGCACACAGCTGAAGCAGTCGTTCAACATTGTCCGTACATACCGAGTTCAGTCCATGTCAACCACCTGAGTCTCAGATGCACTAAGCCTGTCCACTTGTGCATTCGGATCTCCAGCAACCGCAACGATATCTGAGCTTTTAGCTCACCGCAACAGGCCATTCAGGACGTCGTAAAATTTCCGTTTGATGGTGCCAGAGCTACAATCAGTTGGGGCATAAGCAGACGCTACAAACAGATATCGATCAACCTCCCCCTTATGAGACTCCTTCACAGATGTTGTCAGACGAACAGCGCAGTCAAGCAAGGATCCTTCGGCCCGGTGACTTAGGACGATACCGCACCCTGCACATCATGCCTCTGAAGCAGCTGGATTGCCAGAGGGGCGCAACCGGAAGCGAGTGGAGAGTGATGGGGCGTTGGCTCAACCACTGTGCTTGTATCTTCAATTCTTGTCTCTGAGAGACAGCGCACATCAATGCCGAGCGAGTCCAGTGGGTGAGCACACACACTGACTTAATGTTGATGCAGTTTGTCGCCAAAACTCACTCACATAAAACAAGTTTGGTCCTGAGTCTGTTTCCTATAAAAGGGATGACGTAGTCTCTGTCGTGTCAACGTAATTTTTCTTAGAATATGCCCACAGTAACTTGTGAGCAAATCCTAATGCCCGAAAAAAACAATACTTGATCAACTATGAAGTTAAAGAAAACATACCTGCACCATGCAAGTTCTGTCGGACTCAAAAGTTTCCGAGGAGTCTCGTCTTCTTGCCCGAAAACGTATTCGGAGCCACCAAGAGAATCTCGTCCAGACTGATGAGAACTTGAGTCAACTGACAACTCTTCGCCGACTGAATGAGCGTTCCCACAATCCATAGTAGTACTTGTGGTTGTGCCAACAACAGCTGGGCGAACTCGTCCGCGCTGTTTCCTGCGATTGTACTCGCGACGATAATCACGTTTGGATACCGCAAGTTTTGAATCTTCCTTGCATCGGACGCCATTTAGACGAACGCGATTTTTACACTGTTGTTTCAACTTTGTTACGAATCCACTGCTACGAGCTGTATTTGTGCTCTTCAAACGCTTGGCAAAGGCCGATGAACATGCATCTGATTTGGTCGCACCGCTTTCGCTGATTGGTTTAACTGTTTTGAGTGAATTTAGGTTCCCCTTCTTGTTCTAGAAAAAAAGGAAAAGCTCCGAAAACATTGGTGCATCACTGTCTTGCAACGTGTCACTTTACTTGAATAAAAGTTGTAATGGAAGGGAACACTTTCAAACACCCCAGCCCTCAGACAGTCAGCACAGAAACTGACGGCATGAACGCCACTGATACCGGTTAACCAGATCGGTGTCTCCAGCCAAGCACAGTGTGGGTCACGTGAACCATATCCTGAGATCATCAGAATCATCAACAGCACCCAAACTTTTCGTAACATCCTTCGTTTTCTCTTGCTGTGTCGTGTCACATTCCGTCCACCTCTAAGTTTCTGTCATACCTTACTAACCGCCCTTCTCGGCAGGCGGCAACTCGTCATGGGCAAAACATCCTACACATGACCTACAATGCTAATGCATTATTTTAGTGAAGCACTGTCTGCTTCACCCAGAACTAGTCTACCGAGTGGTCCTCTGTTGATCAGCGAAGGTTGACAGCTTTGCACGACACACGACAACAGTGAAAACCCACTTACAACTTGGGACATAGGAGTGTCCACAAAACATGGATCGGGCAGTAATACTACACATCTCAACTGTTAGGCCACCCAACCCAGATGGGCCCGACGACTGCATCACACGTTTTGTGTGTGGTCGATAGCTGTTTGATTGGCTGACAGCTCGCCACATCCCTTAATCATGCACTTTTGCTTCAGGCCGTAAATCCGCTCAACACACGTTCGGTCCACGTCACTGCGTTCTTTCTAATCTAGTGGGCTGGTCAAAAAGGGCACTACTAAAGCCTGCGTGTTGTTAAACTCACCTGCCGCCTCACAGCCCCGATTCAGTCAACTGTGAAACTGGTCGCCTGTCTGCGACCACAGTTGTTCAGCCCTGAGCTCTTGCGGCAAGTGGCCGCTGGATTGTCAGGTATACGGACCAGCTACGTATAGGTGTCTATCGCGTCTAAAGTGATGCCTAACTAGAACTGATCTCTAGTCCCATTCACAAACAAAAAATGCTCCACACTACCAATAAACTAATGAAACAAACAAACAAACACAACAAGCTGCCATTCATGTCATGATATGATACCCTTCAATCAAACTTCCCCAGTTGACAGCAGCAAAGGTGACGGTAAAACAGAGTTTTAAAAAGTCACTACAGAGGGCTGAGTGAGGTAGAGAGTATCCACCTACTGCGGAGAGCATTATTATCATTCTTTGCGGAAACAGTCATATGAGCATCTCAGAACAATTTAGCTTGGCTACTCATGGCGGAAGCAAATGTTTTTCTGGATGCCAAGGTGTGTGGTACCGTGAGAAGTTTAAGATGTGGCGCAAAATTCGTTAAAACTGGCTAAACAAGCGGTGAAAAGAATATACTGCTCACCTTGGTCGATAGCGAAATGGCTTCCGCAGAATTGCTGCTAGACCCCAGGTCCGGATTCTTAGCTGCTCTGTTGACTGGACTCGAACAAGATGCACTCGAAATATCTGCATCTGGTAGGCAGTTATTCGTGTTGGTCGAATTTTTGTTCACCTTTTGACTAGAAAGCGGACCATGATGTGAGGTACAGTTCGCACACACCCATCGACGTGGTGGACGGGTCATCGGTGGTCGTGAACAGCATGGGTGTACGGTCCTTGAGCATTGCTCACAAACAAGCAGCCGTGACATTAACTCCGGACAGGAGCTAAGTACTGCTACAGAGCCCACAGGTTTGCCGACGCAACCACCGCATACAAAGCACACTTGTCTCCCAGTTGCCTTCGAAACGCAGTCGTAGCAAAACCAGTCTCCTGGGGGTATATCAACCAGAGGCGGACGGAAGCAATAGGTGTGATAACCGTGATCGCAACCATCACACAGAAGAAGCTGCGCCTCGTTGCTATCCTTACGACAGATCTGACAAAGCTACAATTTAAGGGAGGGACAACATTCGCCTGTTATGAATGACACGTAGTTCACACTTGTTAGTCACAGCAAAGGTATGCTCACCACCGGGTGAATTTGAAATTAACGCTATGAATGACGGATTAAAACTCCAGCATCAGCTAAAAGACCACTGGTTCCAAATCACAACTTAGCAAATGGATAACATCTGGTGTCACCTACGAGACAAGGTCAGCAATAATCCTCACTGTTAGAGATTGAATGTGAAATTCACGCGATCTGTTGAATGGTTTGGGAAGTCTATGGCATGAATTGTGATTGGCATGGTGTGCCAGTCATCAAATACCAATGTGAAAGTTCGCTCAAATGCAATGGTGGTTTTAGGAAGTACCCTTTGGAGATAATTATGCACTAACTTGATGGTACATAGAGACACGGCTGAGTATATTCAGCATAATGTTCGTTAACTGAATGTCCTGAACAAAGGCTGCGTTATATTCCAGTTTGGTTGATATTCAAGATTTCGGGTATTTTTTTTATTAAACACTATTCATAAAGTTTGTGGAAATTCTTTTGTAACCCACCACAGGTTTCGACCTTCTGGGATCAGTCTTCCACCATATCTATTTCCTAAATGAACACCGAATTGCACATTTATCTGCCAATTAGCTTGGTGAAACCGGTAGTGTGCTGTTGAAGAGATCTCGGTAACCATATACCTAACATCCTTTTAGTTCGGACAAAAGCGAAGAGATAAATGGTGGAGAATTCCAGTGAGCTGTTTAGGTTGCAGTTTGAGAAGTGCTTACTCTCAGCCGCAGTACACTGCGCTGTCGGAAGAAGCCGCTCAAATTTCGCTGGCTCTCGTCGTTTAGCATGTTGGCCTGTCCAACAGTTAAATCTCCGAAGCACTACTTAATCAATAAAGAAATGTAGATGAAAAGCCCCATCTGTTTGGTTTGTTATTGTAACTCTGTGATCATTGTTTTTTAGGCAGGGAGGTACAAGTTCACAAAACCGTCTATGTTTAGACAGGATCACCATGACTACGGGGTACACAACAAACTATGTGGCTAGTCTTAGTTACCAGGTCAACAGTGCGAAACCAGATATATACCGGTTGAAAGACCAAGGACATATTGATCAGATGTATCAAAACTTTTCGTTACTTCTTGTATATAGGGAGCACTTGTCTACCTGATCTCAGGAAGGTTACTAATAGCAGCTCCAGTAATCTGTTAAGTCTATCATTCTTTGTTCTGCAAAGGCTCACTTATGTGACCATAAAAATATCTCTATTGAGATGGGTCTTCTGGCCCTGCATCTTCTATAATGATTTCCTGCTGTTCTGTAGTCAGTACGATCAAGCATGGGATGTCTCCGCAATTTCGCTCACAGGAAAACTCCAAAGAGCGCAACTTTTAGAGGCAACCAAAAGCAATCGAAAAGCCACATCATGTAATGTTTGAAAAGGACCGCAGTAAGTATATGAATATTTGAGGCGAAGTGGCTGATAAAAAACCTTACGTCAGTTTGCGTGACACTGCTCTTACTACTGACCAACTCAAAAGAAGTCCAGCCGGCTGCCAGAAATGTGCTTTAGAGAATGATACACTGTGAATTAAAAACTATAGGCAAAAACTGTCGAGCGCACCTAACCTGCCTAGGCCGAAGTGTCAAACAAACTTCATGCATGCGTAAAAACTGATTCGAGTTTCAAAATCAACTCCTACAGCCTGAAAATAACAGAAATACCAATTATCTTAAGAGCGTACCACTTTCATTATTGATTTCTCCCAAGCAATTGCGTTAATCAGTTGGTTCATGCACTCGCGCATGGCTTCGATTTCCGTGGCACGATGCAGTTTGAGACGCCATTCGACGAGACCTGGGGGTGGTGTCTCACTTGGAATGGCTCCCAGTAGAAAGTTTGTAGAATCTTGGATATCTGATGGATGAGAGTAGGGCAGACATTGTGTGGAGTGTACTGTACTAGCGGCTCCGATACCTTCACTACCACTTGCTTGCTTGCCCACAACACGACGAATCTGAGGTAGATTACCAGTTGCTCCGGCAGAGTCGCAATCTTTTAGACTGTTTGTAGTACTTTCACTCCCAGGTCCTCCACCAAAGCCACTTTCACTTCCCGTCTCTGGATCTGCTGTGTCGTTGAAACTCCGGTGCAAGTCGCTAGGTAAGTTAGAGTCAGATTCAGGTACAATGTCAAGATGAACTTCTGAGTTCAAAGGTGGCAGGAGATAACGACGTTCTAGATGGTGCTCCAGAGTCAACAAACGATTTTTGGCAAGATCCAATGGCCACTGCTCAAATCGAGAACGCTTTGGAGTCGACCGCGGTATTAAGTGTACCATCTCATCATCCAGCACTTTGACGGGTGCCTACAAATGTTGAAAGGCGAAAATTATGAAAAAAACAGGGAATGGAAAGCAATGAGCGATTTCATGAGCATGCGTAGGATATACGCAGGTTAGTTGTACTGCAAGTGAAAACTTGTAACTCAGTCATGTTAAATATGAGCTATAGCCCATTGGCGATGAGACAGCAACGAGCGGATCACCGGCATCCTGAATGTTAGGAACTAGACATGAAAATCATTTCTGATCTATGTGCAAAGACTCTGTGGGCCAACTCATGCTCATGTAGCTGGCGTGCTTTTGAGTGTCGTTATAAAAGGGTTACTTCATTTATTGGCAACGCGTGTTTGCAATTGACGACAGGTGTTCCGTGCTGAGTTCCACCCTACAATTGGTGTGTTCAACATATACTGCGCTTTTATTGTTGGGCGGCGTCATGCTTATGATGATTTGATTGTGGTGAAGAAGTAGGTTACTGATAAATTAAGTGTGATCGGCCCTGAAAAATTAACACTTGTTGGTATGACAGATCACATCGACGAAGCATGATAATTCGCCCGATGCTAAGGTTTGAAGTTCGTACTCTGAATCTGAGACCAAAACCATACCCGACCCTTGTCTAGTGCGGACGCTAGTTATTACATAGAAATCCTGTCAATTTTTGAAGATAATTGACTGATTTGTCCAGCCGACATACAATCGATCGATCGATTTTTTTATGTCGTGCATTTTGTTTTTTAGCGGGAAGGTCGATAAATTTAAACAATGCCTATCAACTAACAGTTAAGCCACAATAGATGGCTAGATATTATATCTGTGAATTAGGTCCCACAATATTGGACCGTGGAATGTTTGCAGCTAAAAAGAGGCTCGCCCCACACGCGACCATTTTAATTAAGATAGTCAAAACTAAGACGACCATCTGTAGGGATTCATACTCACTCGCAAATCAGAGTGGTGCCACCGGGTAGCCTAAATAAAACTCGAGTTATTTTATCGGTTGGGATGCTCTCTTCTATCTAATACTGTAAGTAAAGCCAGCTTCGTGTCTTAGTCGAGCCGAGCAATCTTCTCCGACTCGGTATCATCCATGAAGTTGGCGAAAGCAATTAGGTAGTCCTGTGCCGGTTTCACTCGACATCTGTACGTGGTTCACAAATGTCCATCCATCTTGTTTCTTGAAAACCTAATTCCGCTCACAGATTGCAGTAAACGGACTCATTTGAGCAGTTTGTTTATGATGCAAATTATTCACCAAATAGATCAATCGCCCGAGATGGAACCGACTCGTTCAAAACGTGATTTAAGCCGTTTCGAGCTGCTGACTATCGTCACAACAAGCGGATAAAACTAAAAATGTATGGTATTCATTGAGGAGGTATGCAACGCCCGGATGCTTTTGGACGGGGGTACAGACCAAAACGATTACAAACTGACAATACACGGCTGTTCGGCATTACACTGACAAAACGGATAGGAGGAGAATATTGTCGAAAAAAACACGCAACTCTTATTCTTCACAGTTGAAGGTATGAGATAAATCAATGCATATGTGGCAGCGGAGCAGTAAACGTTCAAATAGTTTAAATGTATAGTCATCACAAGTTGACTACTACAATTTTTGACAAAATGTGATAGATTCACGCAACAAAATAACTGGATGCGCGTTTGTTTCTACAAGTGCATCACGATAAAAAGAGTAATTTTCGTAGCAAGCTTTCAGGTTGTTGGATCGGTCTGCCCATAGTCTGAATGAAAACTTCGTCGAAAGGCTATGTAGAGTAATTACATGTATTTTTCACAAACAAAGTAGCTCCAACCATTGTAAATACTTCTAAAGTTATCCACTGCAACAGTGGATAGTAACCGATGTGGGCGGTTTGAAACCTCAACATACAGTACGTCGAATTGTGCACTCCATTGGCGAAAGCAGTGCCCTAAGGTTTGTAATGTTTGTAGAGGCCAGATGGGAACCAAACAGATTCTAGACCAGCGCGGATACTTTTTTCATCCGATATATGACAGCCTGTCCAGTTATCCTCGACCGGCACAATTCTGTGTCTGACGGATTCAAACAATTCCGGTCCCAGCCACAGCGATTTCTGGATCTCCATCGGTGCGTAACCGGGAGCGAGACGAAACCCATGGGAAAGTCAACTCAATGACTTCACTTTGGTCTCTAGTCCTTTCCTCAGATAGACAAAACAAACCAATGGAGAGTATACCCAGCGTAAAAGGAAGACTAGGCTGTTGGCCCACTTGTTTCAGATTGCAAAGCTTGTCAGATAAACAAACCATTGGGGTGTGAAGAATGCTGACGAGGTGGTGACCGAAACTAACGGGATATCTAGGCTAATGACAATGAGCGGCTAGTGGATCTACCAGTCCCCAAGAAGTGCCATGCGATCATGACGCTAACAAGCAGATGACGGGGTGAAGAGGAACGTGCTTGTTCTATTCATGGTTGTAAAGAAATTCGTTCAGCTGTAGCACCCTTTCGGTGCCCAACTGCCATGCAACCCGAATGAAGAGGGAGGACTGAGATACTGTCAGGTTACCCAAGCTTAGACAGGGGAAGTCGAAATGCAGAGGTTGGGTTTGAACCACTGACCTTCCGGTCAGTAATTTCGCGCTCTAACCACTGATCTGTCTCCCCCCACCCATTCAGGGGGCCGTATAACTTTCCATACACGGTAACATGCGATCAACAAATAAGTGCACAACAACCGATAGGAGGGAACATGCTGGAGCAACGTGGATTTTGCTAACCATAGTTGGCACGGGAAAGAATGTGATCTATCCAACAACAACAAAAAAACCATCACAGTAGAGATGGGTTTAAAAACGTATGCTCTGACTCTTCCACATCGTCAGCAACTTGCCACGCGATGTAGTCAACAGTTTTCGCAGATGAGTAATGCGATCGTGTCGAAGCGGCATAATGCACTGGCGACACTTTATATTCACAACACCACAACTCTAGTCTCACGCAAAGTTTCAGCGCTAAACCACAAACTGGACCAGCAAAGGTGAACATCCCACAGGGGAAGGTTATACGGGGCTTATATCAGTTTAGTTACTGTATCTAACACCGTTCGGGCAAATGACGGGTATGGTCAAAACGCTGAAAAGTAGACAGGAGACTTTGCAGCAAGGAGTCCATGAATTCACGTACCTGCCATCCTTTCACCTGTAAACTGGCAGCCAAAACCCGGTCTTCGAGTGATTCGATTTCTTCTAAGAAACAGCATTCTTCCACGAAGTTGGGGTCATCACTGCCGATGAGTTCAACCAGACTCCGTCCGTTTGCTTGTGCATCCGTTGTCTTCAAACCATGAACTCCTGGACGCTTTTCCAAACGAGCCACAACAGACTTCAACAGTGATCCGGCCGAGTCACTGGAGGGAGTTGTTTTCCGGCTGACACGACGTCTTAATCTGTGTTCTAATATGATGGACGAAGAGGATAAACTACCAGATTGATCAATTATACCTGAGCTTTGTATCGATGCCTCCGCAGAGTCAGAAGGATCGGTAACTAGAGCAGGTGAAGTTGGATCGATTCCCTGTTCTTGTGATGAACAACAGCTGGAGTGAGAGATTGGTGTCAGAAAAGATGTTTCTGAGTGTGCTGGATTTAGGCCCAGCCGAGATGAATTGATTGCATTCAAGCCCGCAAAACTTGAACTGGTCGAGAACTGCGCGTTGGTTCCAGTACTGCCTCGTCCCTTACCTCGACGTGATCGCACACGAAGAAAGCGTGGTTCCAGTTCAACTTCTGGACCATTCTTTGTGTAGTTAAGTTCATCATCTGAGGAGTAGTAAAATGGTAACATTCGGGTGAGACGGATTTTATTCTACACTCGCCTGGCTGTATTTACTACAATATTGTTCGGCAGTCCGTTTTACGCTGAATCCTCATTAAGTATAGGAATGGCGACAAAACAGCTTGCACTAATAAGCCGGCTTCTCTAGCCTCATAAATGAATAGGCCAGCACTGGACTTGTGGTGAGTTTTCACCAGTGATCACAGAAGTTCTGCCCCATGAAGACATACTATTTTGAGTTGGACAACGTCTACGGAAGAAAATTACTGGGGGCTAAAGCTATAAGAGGTACAGATGACTAGAAAGGGTTTGAACCCTAATCCAGAATAGCTGTGAACGCGGTTGGTTCCTGACATGCAGCCATTTTTAGTTTATTACTCATTAATTGAACCAAGATACATGAGACCTATCATTAAACTTATAAACTTATTATTGCTCGGTGGCAATTTCGGTTTTAGACTATTGCTTTGGTTTGACAAAAAATGGTCGGTAACAATAAGGCCTGAACAAAATGGAAAAATCTGAGACTTACTGAGATTAGCAGCAATTTGAAGAGATGGCTCGACCACTTCTTCACTTTGTCGGATACCTTTGGCTAGATTACGTTCTCGAACACCGCGTGGAGCCAGAGCTTGAATCATTGTTCTTAGCTTACTGGGACTGGTGAGTCGACACCACTGCGTAGACTTCGCTTTGTTCCGTTCGACGCCACTACTTGAGGTTAACTGAATGTTACGGGTCAATAAACCCTGATCTGTCACCTGTTCAACCTCGGAATCGGATATCGCTATGACTAGATCCGCATCATCATCTGCAGACGATACTTTGGATGGCCGCTGTTCTCGATGATAGTGCTGATGAGATCTTGTAGTGTCTATCATATCGGTAAATTTTAGTGAACTAGCGTTATCCACAAAAGACTTTTTAAGTACCAAAACTGCATCTCTTAGTGACGGTGGTGGTGCTGATTCATTATGCGTAGAAAGCATTCGTTCGGGAACTGAAGATGCCGCTTCGTCTTCAGTTGTAGGGTTAGCTCTTATTTCTTCCATTAGTGCCCAAATTAGAATGGATTTATAGTGAGCTATGATAGATTTCCACGGCTCGTATAGTGTTTCGTTACAGGCAACCGAGGCTGGAATAATGGAAGAATGGGTCATGAATAATAAAGCGGCCGTTGTAAGCACAACGTCATCCAACCCAAGGCTTGTCATCATTTCATAAATATTTTCTAGAGTACCACTCTCTGGAACAAAACCAGTGTCTTTTGACGATTTGGTACATGGTAAGCAAGTGGTTGACTTTGTTGAAAGATCCAGAGGTTGAACCGAAGCTGGGTTTTCACAAGTATTCTCTGTTTCTACTGTTGCTTCCGAGTTTTTAGGTACTCCGTTTGGACCTGAGAAGTTTTCACAGGATTCCTTGGCTTCTGAAAATGGTTGGTGTGGGGTTTTCTCAAACTCCCCGGATGCTGATTTTGCCTGAGTATCAGAGGCACAGTCAAGATTGTCTGTTGTGTGTAACTCGGCAAGAGACTGTTCACTGTATTCTTGAGCCAGTGGCTCATGTAGAGAACCGTCCGGGTCGGTTTTGGCCACGATTTGCTCTTTGGCCTCTTCAGAAGTGTCCGCAAAAAACCCTTTGATTTCGTTACGTACTGCCTCAGTCTTGGTATCCTGTCTTTTACACTCATTTTCCGCAGCCTGAATTTCGACTTCCATCTTATCAATGAGGAGCTCCTTTGGTGAACTGGTGGGATATTCTTCACTGTCCTTTTTGAAGTTCTCTGATAATTCTTCAGCAAATGATTTCATCTCCTCAAGACCACATGAAGGACTAGGTTTCGGGTGTAACAGATCATTTTCAGTGGGTTCTTGTGGTTCACAAAACACATCGTCTTCTTTCTCAGTTTTTATCTCGTTTTCTATGCAATCTCCATTCAGCTGTGTAGATTCGCAGGATGTCTGAGTTTGGGCTCTGCGTCTACATTCCTCATCACTGGTAAAGGTTGTTAGGGTGTCAGGTTTTGCAAAATTACCTTTCTTATGTATTATTCCACTATCGTTTTCAGACTGTTTGTTGCTGCTCGATGCTACAAAGTGGGAACTCGATTGATTCGCCTGGAAATGACCGTCATTCAGAATCTCATCGTGGACCGCTAGAGGTATAGCGGTCGTGAGTTCTGCTGCTTCGAGAAGTTCTCCACTAATTTTCTCTTCTTGAGTTTCGCAGCATTCATGAATTTCTGAATTGGAGGTGATTTCTTCATTCATGGATTGATGAACATGTGAACTGGAGCCTTGGTTATTTGAATGGTGGTGAGGATGTGCTATACCATGTCCATTCGGTATCACAATTGTATACCGACGTTTTTCGGCCAGTCGTCGACGTGCATGAATTTCCGCCACTAGCTGATCTGGGTCAAAGCCGAAACGTAAATCCACTTCGCCCGCAAAATCACTCTCATCTGCTTTCACATCTGAGTTCACTTTATCTTCACAGCTGAGTGGTTCATTCGGTGCATCGGCGTTACCTTGAACATATATGCCTCCTGAGTGTCCCAAGACATAATACCTTCGAAAGAATCTGTCTTGTCCTAAGTAGAGACCAGATAGGCGAAAAGAGCATTCTTCGATTGCCCGCTGTTTGTGCTCAACGACGCGAACCAAAGTCTCAATCTTTGCTTCAAGTTCATTCACATCTTCTACATCCTCTTCGTCCTTAACTAGGAAGGCATTCATGATGGCCGCAGCCGAAACGGCTGCAGCTGCCGTGGCTGATGCGTTCGGAGCAGCTTCACCACCGGTGCTAGCAGATGCGTTAGCAGTTTTCTCACAGAATTCATGAGCTCCAGTGGCTGAAGTTTCTGAAATGTCTTCAAAGTAGAAAATCGGTTTGCTTTCATCTGTCTTGATACTTTCAAGCTTGTCTTTTTCGGTAGATCGCGATGAACTATCCATACGTTCAGATTCTTTTTTATCTCCGGCAGTTCCTGGGGACCGGGTTGCTTCGGCTGGTGCGATCTCAACACCGCACGGTTCGTTTGAGCTATCCACTGCAGAATTTCGAGCAGCAGATCCCCTAACGGAACTTGTATTATGCAAAAGCTGGTCAACTGGTGTGGTGTCAGTTGTCCCGGTAACTCCGAATTTCCTTGCCATAACGAAGCGCAATCTGGAAGGGAATCACGAAAGATGAAAGATTCCGCTAAGTACATGCATTAAGGAGTGGGTGCGAGCTAGTTCAAAATTCAGTCTTAGACAAACGGATGAGCACTGTTCGCAAACAAGTCATATTATTTCCTATTCTGACGAACTCTGATACAACATTATGACGATCTGCCACAGTTCTGAAGCTGTGCGCTATGTGCTGAATAGCTTTACACAACCCGAAAAACTTTGTCGTAGATACCTGCGAATCTTCGACTCCAAAACCCATTTTTCCCGCCTGAGGGCAGCCTGAAGTTCGATTGTACGATCTACTTCGGTTGATATCAGTCGGCTGGAGCAGACTAGTTCATCGCAAACAAATGCCAACAAGGCACTCTGCTGGTCACTGGAAAGTTCTGTAAAGTGGCAAGGTGGTCGAAGCCAATCTGACATATCGTCCTCGTAGCCATTGCGCCCAATTAGGAACACACGAAGCAATCCGGTAACAGTACTCGGGTTTACCTCCAACTCACTAAACCGCTGACCCAATAGCTGTGTGACCTAGAGGGGCGAAAAGGAGGTTGAAAAAACTTGGGTTAGATAAAGTTCTAACTGAATGAGAACGAGTGGACAAATATACTGAACAACTCAGGTCATTCAAAACACAATGTAAACCCCAGGTTAGATCGTACAAACAACACAAAAACCAAATATCCATGGATGCGCTTCACATTTGGCACCATAATAGTACAATTTACATTCACGCTTTAGCGATAGTCAGTTCGCTACAACGATGCGACTGTATACAAACAAACCCACGTCACTCATATGATTTGTCTACACAGCCCTATTTTCTTCTATAGAGACCCGGAAGACAGTTCACAAAGGAAAGCCGGTTCCTTCGGGACGTATGAAAGTTCATTTGTATTCAAAGTCGACTCGTCAATCAAGGGCAAGCGTGGCTTATCAGTGGCCTGAAGCCTCGTTGCATCAACGACAATCTGTTAAGCCAGTGATACTAGAAGTATTTCGTCCAATCGTCATGGGTTGCCAGTGTGGCAGTTTTAATTGTTCATGGGTACCTGGCATCGCATTTTGCCATAGTTGGCTTACTTTCTGATCATGTATCCGAACAAAATATATTTGTTAGGGCATAGTTCGAATTAAGAGCCACTGTCCACATAACACCTAGGACCTGGTGATGCGAAAAACAGCGATCTCTCCCAATAAGAATAGGAGGGCTATGCAGCGCCTCTCGATTGTCCGTAGTAATGTCAAATGTAGAGGCGACAAATGGTAGCTTGCTCATAATATTTTGTTGTTACCTACTAGAAGCAGCACTAACAGGATTATAAACATACCAAACGCGAGCTAGGTAGTCCAGGATCCAAAATAGCGAACTTCAGCAGTTCAATTAGTAGATGCAGCACCGCTTGTTGACAAGCCGGATCTCTGTCGATTAGGGCGGCCTGCAACATTCCCATTGTTGGAATTGTCTCAGAATCTAAAACAGAGTTGAAAAAGTGCGTGATAAATTATACATCAAGAGACAAAAGTGCGTTTTTTCGCGTCCACTTACTTTCAACAGACGATGGGGTACATAACCTCAAATTCATTGCATTTCCTTTCATGCTGGTGAATGTGGTGGAACACGCGTGCTTACTACCCTGGCCAGCACATCAGAATTTATAGCTGATTAAATGGGGCCGTCAATATTTGTGAATAGTAAACGATGTCCTCGTGTGAGTAGTCACATGCAACTTCTCATCGGTGCACGTATAAAACATACCAAGTACATAAAAAATACCCAAAATCTCATCTGACTTAGTTTAAAGTTATGGAAAACTAACTGATTGCTAAAGGTTTTATCAACTTTTACTGCTTTGCTTTTTTCTGCCACTGTGTATTTCAACACTGTCAACCGGGGATTCCTCAAGTTTAATACTTTTCATTCTTTTTCTTCAACATGCTTGCTTATTAGAACGTAATCCAAGATAACTCGGAAGCCAAGGGACGAACTTGCTAACCAGAAAGTCCGAGCTTTGAAACCAACCCCAGTGCCTCAACTGCTTCTCTCTAGGCTTATGCAACCTGACAGTATTTTACTCCTCGTGCTTCCTCCCGGTGGCACGATAACTAGGCTCCGAAAGGGTAGTACGGATGTATGACTACTGTTAGTAATAATGGCAATGGTATTTAAGACCAGGCCAGTGTGTTAAAATACTGAGCATCTCGGAGAATCCTAATGTGTTAAAATACTGAGCATCTCGGAGAATGGAGTTGAGGCCTTAGCTTCTAATCCTCTGTGTTGTGCTTAAGAACAAGGGAATTATTTGCACCGACATCAAAAATAAACATGATACAATGTGCAAAACCACTTAAAGAAGCCTTTATAGAAGTTTTAGCAGCGAAGTGCATACGCCATCGATCCATGCAAATATACAGTACTTCATTGAAGCAAGACAACTTTCGTGGACCATTTTCTTGAAGCTTTACGCAAAGCATCATCATTCTGATCTGCACATCCGAAAAGCTATCTTGCCTAGAGTGGCAACCAATGAGAAGCAGGCATTTTGAATTTCCGAGTAAGTGGAATTCCGATGAGTTTGCGTGAATGAGAGCAAACGCCGTCATGAATTCCCCATGGGAATCACTTCACTAAAATCGAGTAGGGCCTTTCTGGGAGAACAGCTGCAACCATACAGCAGTGAGGCATCAGTGTCATCACTGATGCTGCTGTCTTTGATGATGATAACGATGATGATGATGATGATGATGATGATGATGATGATGATGGATGATGATGATGATGATGATGATGATGATGATGATGATGATGATGATGATGATGATGATGATGATGATGATGATGATGATGATGATGATGATGATGATGATGATGAGCTGCAGCCTGCGTTTGACGAATAAGCAAAATTAACTGGCCAGGCTCTCCATCACTTCCTCTAGGAAATGGAAGTAGCTGTGCACTTGAGACCGAAAATGTGGGGGGTCACAGTGATTATTGCTGCCAAGATACTTGAGGTGACCAGTTTACTTCTTTGCATTGCGATTACATGACATGCCTATGCCATAGGAAGCGGTAGTGAGTCTTGATATCATAGTAAAAAACAGACGAATCCGCACAATCTACGGCATTGCAGTTTTTAATCATATAATCTGAGAGAACGAGGGAAAAACCGTACACAACTTTCGACACACGATGTTATTCTCGAGGTAGCATACTGGGTCAAGTATTGCCCGCAAAAGAGAATGTCACTTGGGGCCACCGAGCCGAAAGTGAAACGATCTCACCGTAAAACAAGAAACGCGAGTTTTTAGGACCAGATGCGTGTTCCAACTAATTGGCTGAATGCGACCTGGAGGGCTGCAAAGCCATAACTTGAGGTTTTTCCAGCTGATTACTGAAATAAACATCCCCTGAGTAATCGCTGTGCCGTGATCGAAACACCGATACGCAATTAGGGTTACCATCTGATACCCTGACAGTGACATTTGGGAATTTTGGATTAAGTGAATTCAGTCTACACCAGAACGTCCAGAAACCTCGTACGTCTGTGTCGTACTTAGTGGGAATCTCATTAATCTCCAGGGTGATTCGAGTTCCCAACCTCCTGGCTGATGGCTGAAGACTAAACCGTGCGGTTGATCAGCAGCATGACTGACCACCTAGACAAAATATAACGCCACTCATCCTTCAATGTTGAGATTCACATCACGTGGTCACGTGTTGACCGGCTCCTCGAATAATGATATCTGACCGTTTATGCTCTAGGGAAAGGATGGCGACCCATAGCTCCTCTCGTGAAAATCAAAATCAAATCTGTAGGTTTATTGAAAAATTCGTATACCAAATGACTGCTCTTTCAGACCTCATCAGCCTGCCTTGTCATTAAGCTCGCCGACTGCTTTTCACCTCTCATTAGATCCTAGTAACCAATAAGAGGAATTCTAATGTTTTCAGCAACCTTATGAGTAGCGCATTACGAATATACATGAATCGCGATGTCTCGAGTATCGTAGCGACTGAAACATGAGGCGGCCTTGTGCAGCCGATTCATTTGCCTGGAAACATCACAAACGAGAGATTCAGCTGGGTTCCAAGTGAGTCTCTGATAAGACCAAATTTGTTTGTAAATGAGTGTACTTCGCTAATTCTACTATTTATTCCGTGGAGCAAAATTTCAGATACGCGAATCAGTGCATTGTGTCCATTCCTCGCAGTGAAAAAAACGCACTGAAAGTTTAACCCACTCTGGGCAATATTATGCGGATCCACTACTCAGCGACAAACTGTCCACTCTGGTATTGCAGAGGATTGTTATGGTGATGTTCCCACGTGGAGAAACGTCATACGATCTTATACGAAGCCAAACCTATGAGATAAGCTATACCACCGATTCTGTTAGGGAATTTGATCCGGGTGAAAAGAATTTCAACCTCAGTATCTCAAACAAACTGGAATTTCGCGTTCAGTAAAGAGTGGATTTTTCTTCGAGTACGATGTACGTTGTCACTTGTACGTGGTACTCTTTCTACATTCACTACCTAAGTACCTGCGAAAAGGATGCACGCTTATGCCGGCAGCTTTGTCAACTCCTCTAGTGCACCTTACATCACATCACACATGTCCACCATTAAAGCAGGACAACGACAAGCGGAAATGCAAAACAACCACACCTGGCCAGTTTCTTTCCATACTTGTATACAAATTCTTGACCCAAATCGAACGGTATTTCGATCGAACCACCAACTACCTACCAATATCCCATTCAACTGACCGAACAACGTTTTGTCAAGGCACAGATACACCGCCGTCCGCATCTCCTTGTTCTCTCTCACTCTCTCTCTCTCGCCTGCGCGTTACCACAGCCTGTGGGATAGTATGGCACGTGAACACAACACGTTCGAAACAACCCACAAGGCCAACGTGTGTCTTGGATGAGTGAGAATGCGAATGGTGGACAATATTGAGGTGAGACGAGAAAAAAAGGTTTTAAAAGTTGGTCTACCCTGTCGATTAATTGGTGGATAAAGCAGACAGAAGCAGTGTGCCTGAACACGGCATATTGGCTCTATGTAACAAATACACTAACCATATCAGCACAGTTCAGATTGATCCAATGAGCAAACTGAGTTAAAATCATAGTGAACTGAAAGTAACTTAATCATAAGTTATCAGGGCTAAACATAGCCTTGACAAAATAAGAGAAACGATTTGAGGGGAAAAGTGTAGCACAAAAAGCAAAACAAGCACATAATGAAGTAAAGAAAAGATGAAAGAATGCGGTGCAACTTAAGTCTGTTGATTGAGCAATCGGCTAGTAAGTGCCTTATAAATCCAAAACAAAATGGCTGATTTTCGAACTCCATTATCTATGTTGTGGAAACTATTTGGTCTAAAAACATCGAGTGTTGCAATAACTGCTACCCAGTTGTTTGTCATATCTTAGTTTGATGGTAGTATGATCAGATTTGGCAATCTTCGATTGATATTTTGCCTTGTAAGCGAATTCAATCTATCTCGAAAAGCCAAGAACCACTGTACGGCTGTCTCATCGTTATTGAAAACAATCAGCAGTGCGCATCTCACAAACAACCTCCAGGTTGGTAGCTTGAAAACAACCTTTGGGCCAGTAACGCTTGTTTAGCAGTCATTAACTCGCGGTTAGACGGGATATAGCGCCACCATCTTCCAATCACGGGGACCTCATCACGTGGTCGCGTTTTGACTGGTTCCTTGAGTCACGATTTATCAGACAGAAATTCCTCTCATCTTTCGAAATTATTCTTCATCTGAGCTGCTTGAAAATTGATGGTACTAATGATTGATGATGGTACCATCAACTTATGAATTTCCATTTGAGAAGTCGTCACTCGTGGAACCAGTCAATACGTGATCACATGATGCGGTTTCCGTGATTGAAGGATGGTTGGCGCTATATCCTGTCTGAGTGACAGTTAATCACACTTCTGTTGAACCACTCGCAGCCCGACGGTCGAGTGTTCAAGCACTTTCTAAGCTAAATTCTGGAAGAGAATATCAAAACAAACTGTGTTCTTGGCCAGTTGCAACCTCCTTCATATAGCCCCTCTTGTGACCACTCATTTGACGACGAGCTGGATTCACGTAAGAAGTGCTAAGAATTGCCAGTCATTCATCAGGAAGTCAAAAGTTTCGCCTGCAACCAAACATGACAACAAAGTTCATTTCTGGTGGATAACAAGAAACAGGCTACTGAGTGAAAGGATTACATGTAATCCCCTTCCATGGCTGTCAAAAGACTCTTATCTGCTTCTGTGGACCGTCAATTTCATGGTCACCATCTGTGGCCGACTAGTTACTTTAGGTAATTTGTTAACCCGTTGATAACAAAACAAACAAAGCCGGTTAGTGCATGCGCATAATTCCTAAAGCTGATGAACTAGGTAATTCACAATAATTCTGATCGAATAAAATTTTTTACTCTTCTGGTTTAGGGCGCTTCGACTGATGCTTGGGTGTCACTGGTGGGTTCATTGGTTTGTGTGGGTTTGTGAATGCTACACCTTAGTAATGGGGGCAAGATTACATAGGCACTTGATCAACTTGAACCGTGCAATTCAGACCCAAGCTAATTCTCATCTCCATCAATAACCTTACGCCGCTCAGCGGCATGAATCACAATCTCCGAATCAAAAGTTCAGCGACTTCGAAATCCGTGTAGTTCCACGCCTGTAGCAAACGACGAGCCATTGACGAATCTTCAGGTAAACCCCAACATCAATCTGTGTTTCTCAGACCACTTTTTTCTCCGTGTCCACCGATTCCGGTGTAAGGCCCCCTAGCCCTCTGTCCTATACAGATCACACTGCAGTCATTGCATCTGACTTTGTAGACGGATCCTGGTCCTATTCAGTAGGAGGCGATCCTTCATCAGCACCAGTACAGAGAGCAGGGTATTTTCATTCTGGAACGCTTCTTTCGTGTTAGTTTTGTTTAGGATCCTTCAAATGACTTCGGATGTCTCTGGTTTTTATGGGATGACAGCAGTTCCAGTCCACTCCCTGCTGGGTCCCGCTGCAGGTAACAGTGCTGTTTGTGACTTGTCACGTATCAGATTAGTCTGCTCTTTACTTCAATTTGGGCCCTAACTTGAGTTTCAAACATGTATTCCAGAGCACGGTAGAATCCCTTCAGCGCACCAGAACCACCAAAGGCACCTTGATTTAGTGATAAATCAGGCAGCATAGTGATATTTTGATTCACAGGACCTGCTATTACATCGTCCACAAATGATGAAGAGTGTTGAGGGAAATACTCGATGACATGACAAGTACCTCCCATTGTTTGGTATATCGAACGATCGCTCTACAAATCGATTATATATTCAGTGCTCTCCTCTCGTCGTTATATTAACGAGATCAGCAGTGTGCTTGTCTACTTGCAACTAAATGGTTACTTCTTGCTGCCCGATTATGAACTCTTTGACTAGACTGCTTTGTATCCCTTTATCGTTTACTTTGTTTGCATGAAAATAAGAAGGAATGTGACGCTTTATTGACATTAGTCTCATACAAATGATAGTTAAAAGTAGGTCTGCTTGTAGAATGGACTTACCGACACAAAGAATTTCCGTGAAAGCGTGCAGGAATTCCACAACCAGCAAGCAATCAGAAAATGCCTGGCTAGAAAGTCGGTTACCTTCGATTGGATCGAGTTTCGGGAGGGGCTGGAAAATGTGAGAGCGGTTTCATAGAGAACAGGAAACAGCCAGGATGTGTGAATTCAAAGCTGATTAGCTCGTGACCAAAAAACCCATAATAGTTCTAACAGTCAAATCAACATTACCTTCAAATTCAGGAGTCGGAGATCTTCAACTGGTTTTTTGAGTTCATACTCCATGCGCTCATTGACTTTCTGGAATTGAAGTGAAGAAACCAAGCGGATAAACAGCTTGTCCCAGCTAATGTATTTTTTCACACAAATAAAAAGTATACACGGAGCACCCAAACCACAACTAACAGATTTATTTTGAATAAACTAGCCTGGTCCTTGGAAAAAATCACAACCTAAATTGGGCGCGGGTCATACGGGAGCAGAAAGTGAAGCTTTGATAGTGAATGAAATGCGAATGAATCCCCATTCTGTTTCTTCAAACCATATTCGATCTCCTAAATTGGAATACAGGTTATACAGATTATACAATCCGTGATATACCTTGTTTCATCATCCGTTTTCTTATTAAGAAGCAGCAGGTGCAATTTGTGGTGATTATGACTTTGGTGCAAGATGCTAACAGTGACCAACTCAGTCGATTCCGACAAACTCAGTTTTCAAAGTGGATTAACCGCTATCACAATCTTCATCTTCATCTTTGTCATCTTCAAAATAAAAGTTCTCACCAAGATAAAACCCTAAATATTCTGTACAAAACAATCTAAACGCTGTATGGATAAAAATGTGGCGATAACACCGAAGAAAACCCAAACGCTGGTTTATCTACTGAGGAGAAAATTTCGGGGGCCCGGAACTTCCCTCAGTACGCTAGTCTGTCGTGGATAGAATTCACAGTTTCCAATGTTGCCTATCGATCCAAATTCGCCTACCAGTTATTTCCGGGCACAATAAACCACCACGTTAGCGAACTATTTTCGCCTGAACTCAGGTCGGGCGGTCAGATACACCCATAGTACGATTGGCTGGAAACTTTTACAGTAGGAACGCCAACTAAATAAAATACGCCTGAAGGATAGGATAAAAATTGGAGGTAAGCCTGATTGTCTGTCGCTAACTCACCAGGTATGTTATGGAAAAACCAGTTTAGTTTCGCAAAACCGGTGAACGGAGACCTGATAAGTGCAAGCAAAAATAATTTGGGCTTCCTCTTGCTACATTGAAGTACTGTCCTCTGTGTCTATCTCTGTCTCTACCTCACATTTAGTTTCCACCATCTTCTCCTTTATTGCGGCACGCTCTGTCTGGAAAATTCTTAAGTACCGATACTCTCAGTCGCGCCTACCTGACTGCTACAATCCTAATATGCGATCCGCAAGTTAACGTATTGAGCTGAACTGTAACATTCCCATCAAAATGCTTGACTGAGATAAGAATCCACTGCGCTTTCCTAGATCAACCCAAATTCCCCCACAACCATTCTTCTGTTCATCGAAAGTGTAACTAACCCTGATTCTGGTTGCTTCCGCGATTCTGCAAAAGGGTTTTCAGTTCGTACTTCAAATAATTCTCAAGGTGAGTGTCATTTCGGATCAGTGTAAACAGCCATTAATGAGATACACTAGGTAAAGTTCTGCTTCGAAATCTTCGCCTGTTCCTCCTTCCACTTATGCCATTCGAAGCTTTCAGTGTTATTGGACTACAACCTAACCCTACACTCAATCGTTCAACCCCTGCTTCCTGGTCCATCACTCATTTAGCGGTCTCCTGTCGTCTTTTCTTTGAGCCAGTCATAATCGAAGCTTTACGCTCAGAAACATCTCCCCATCAAAGCCTTATTTTTTTAAATTTCACGTTCTATTTAATATGGAATAATGCTATAAAATTTGGAATAACCAACCTCCTGCTAACAAAGGTAGTGATTGATGTGTCGAGTCCCCACTCTTTTTCGAGTCCTCTTTCGTCATAGGCATAGGGCGTATCTATATGTTATTGTCACTCTCAAGACAATATTCAACTAATTTCTGTTCTTCTGGCCAACCTTATCAAGTATAAACACTTCATTATTGAGTATTATTCTTTTCCTTCATATTCCTCCCGGAACTTCCGGCCTGTAGAAGCCTATGAAAAACTGTCTGTTCGAGTTCTCACAACTGTTCATTCTCAACAATAAAGTTAATGTTTGCTCAAATCGTCACGACATTCCTTTGCTCCGTATTTTTCGTTTATTGTTCTTGTTATTTATATCACTGAGGTTCTTTCAGTGCGTTGGGTCATAAACAGTGTCAATTCTAAAAAGACTCCTTTTTGTGTGCAAGGCGCTTATGAGTAGTGGAAAATTTAGGGCTTGATTCTGAGTAGAGACCACTTCCTAATGGAGACGCCTCCAGTGCTACACTGTCTTGCATATTTGTATGGAATTTCGACCTGCTATACTGGCTACTTCGGTGGGAAAAATCCACAGCCGAGTGACCAAACTGATTGTTGTAAATATGAAAAAAACTGTTTATTTACCAGTGCCAGCAGCTGTTCCCGCTGTTCGAGAAGCACCTTCTGCCTGTGTGCCTTTTTCTCCTTGTTCAGTCGGAGTTGTTCTTCAGCCAGTTGAACAAAAAATTGTTTCATACAATCCCGTTCCTATGAAACAGATCGAATAGACGTTGAAAGTGACATTCATGCGTGCAAAGAATATGAACAAGAATCTCGTTGATAAAACGGAAGGAAAGCTTTAGGATAGCGTGATAATAACTAACTCAGTCCTGAGAAGATTAATCATCTCAACTCACTATAGAACTGTTTAGACCGGATATCTAAAGATCAGGAAATTATCTAGATTATGGTGCCTTATGCTGTCTCGGAACAATGTCACCGTTGAATATTCCACTCCCCACTACATCCTGTTGTTACGGCCTCGACCGGCGACGAGATGTTTGCAACAAAGCTAGTGAGTAAGCGATTCGACCGCCGACTGAACAAACTGAGCTAACAACGTTCTTTTCTATAACAAAGTTAAACTGAGCAGTTATTTCATCGCAGAGTAGCAAATGATGAGAGGGATTTTGAGCAACTAATGGTACCCAGTTGCTTCCATTACTATTCAGTAACCAGAAGTTCACTGAAGGCCACTCACTCCTGGAGGGACTAGCCGGACTTACGACAGCGTAGTGTTTGATATGCTGAGAAAAATTCCTAGCACACTCTCGCATGCTAACGAATACTCACCATTGTAGGGTCTAAACCGGTTAGACTAGGCACACCGGGCATGCAAGTATTCAATGGTAAAAAGCCCATCGGTCGATTTATTGGGGACCAGGGATTGTTCACGGTAGACGTTGATCCCGATACAAGTGGATGATTCAGCGGAGAACTGAAGTTATTGAGACCCGAATGGGAGCTGTAGGGATCCAGGAATGGTATGGCGGCGGGACTAATAGCCATACTCTGGCTTGCTGAGTGTGCTACTGGTGGGACGGACAAGGAATCTCCAGTCAAGCTTGAACCGAGGTAGGCGGTATAGTTCAAATCAGAGTTGGCTGGATCATACAAGTTGGAGGGAAAATTATATATTGATTTAGATGCAACTGTGGAGTTCATATGGGCCGCAGGCGGGAGGATAGGCTGGTTGGATGTGCAGACGTTGCTTGATGGACACAGATCACCAGGAATGTGTTGGGTAGCTGTAGGTGATGGGAAGATACAAATATGAATCGGCGCAAGTAAGAGACATTCAAGTAAGTCCAACACCGATGTGTAATTAATATGTAATAGTTTTAACGTTCGTACTGCATCCCGCTAGAACACATAACCCAGCGCTTTGCATAACCGAAATCTCCAACTGGCCGTGAGGTATTCCAATGAGAGGGAATTTGAATGAAGGGCAGTGACACAGGTTTGAAACAAACAGCGAGCAAAAAGTGGTTGGGTAAACATGATAGTGATTCATAATAATCTACACATGCTGATAAGTTGATTGCTTGAAAACCGGGTAGTTGTTGGAGCCTGAAATGCAGATGACCTATAGTACAGTACAGTACAGTACTTTAACCAAGCCTACTGCAGTGCCCTTTTAGGCTTACTGTTCCATAAACTTGAAAACTTAAAAAGGGTATAATTTTCCTAGCACAGCGCTAGTCGTAAGATTGCTGGTGACTCGTCGACAGCCCATGACCGGTTTCCTATTTCTTGGGGCTAACGGGCGTAGTCCCAATTTTCCTCCATTCCTATGTACTACTTGAGCACCGGGTTGCAAATAATTTGAGCACGAAATTATTTGTATATGAACTTGGTTGTAATTGGATTGTTCAGTGGTGAAGGGTACTCCTAGCTGATGACCCAGAATAATCGCAAAACCGGTCGTAGGCCGTCAAATGAGTTTCAGCAAAGTTATGGTTAGTGGGTTCCTTCAAGAAAATGTACAGTGGTATCTCGAATATCGTACCAAGTGAAACGTCAGTCGGACCTCGTGCAGCGGCATATTTAACTGAAGAATAGCCTAAACCCCGGATTCAGCTAGAATTGTTGGTCCATAAACGAGTGATGATGCGGTATTTACTATCCGCAAAGATGTCAGTAGGTGATTGGCTTTCGTACAAACACATTCCTTCCAGTTCTAGAGTGAAACATTCAAAATGATACTACAAGATGGTACGATGATAGAGCTAATAAACTAAGGATTTGGCCGCTAAGGAGTTAGACTTTCAAATCCATCGTAGCCTTCTGAATACTTCGTGTGGCCAAAAAAATTGGCGGAGCTATGCGCCTAATGGCGGTAGGGTTGAAGGAGTTGAGTTGCTCTCCTCCAATCAAAACGCATCTGATACCATCCTATCCCGCTGGCGGTAGCCTCCTGGTAACAGAGTTAAAGAGGGTATTTCGGCGCAGAGAAGCCATCCAACTGAAGATTCCCTGAACCTAAACCTTTTTAGATGAATGCGACGGTCAAACTGTATGCATCTGCCGTATGCGAAGTCACCTTTATTTTGGTTACGAAATGAGCTCAAAACTCACTACTTGTGTAAACTTGGTTGAAGTGGTGTTAATTTCAGAGGACAAGCGTACAACCAGACATTCAACCAAATGGAGCACTGCCTCATGCGCTCCGCTACCATTCACACGATCACCCTTCAAACCCCACAACTCCTTCGGAAAATGAGGGCAGATCCGCATATTCGCTAATGCGGACATTTTTGTGCAGTCGTTTCAACCCTGCAACTCCGGGTGAAATAAATGAAAACCTCGACTAACCTTCAAGGTTCTCTGCCTGAGATATTGCCGGCCAACATGAATTGCCGGGAGTATTCTTGGAATCCGTCATTTCAGCGATTCCGGCGGTTGTCATGAGGGCGTCCAAAGCGGCGTCGGACATTTTAACGTAGCTCTGGAATTTTCGAAGGAATTATACGTACGTAGATTTTCGGTTCGAAGGAATTATACGTACGTGAGATTTTCGGGAATGCGGCAAGAGTGGTTCACCATAACAGCATTAGGAATAAGCCAAATACTATGGTTTGTTTCTGGATCTGGCTGCAACAATATGAAGTGTGCAGCGGAGAAGTTTGTCGCTCGGTACTGCCTGGCTCAGGGATTTTTCTAAAGTAACTTGTCATGACCCAGATGCCAAGCAAACCAACTACAAGACCAGACTAGGCAGGTTACATGAACGAGAGTAACAGAGATTCAAATATCTTACATGGCAATCAGGTTTCTCTTAGAGTTGTGTGATAAGGTTCCATTTTTGGTAGGCCGGATGGTGTCACGAGAATTTTCGAGACTGGCAAGAAAGCACCTAGCCAACCGTACTTTTTTTGCTTGTGACAGTGAAAGTTATCAGGACAGGATAGGCGACAAACTGTTTCGAAGAAAAAATGACCTTCATTGGGGAGTAATACACCTTTCGCATTGAAAATAAAACGGTAAATGATGGACTTCACAAAACCTTTCGACTCTTGGCCACCACAGTCTAACGTGCAACCATTAACACTGCAGTATTAGTAACTAGCTGCTAGGATGAGTAGAAGAGCGACTTGCAAAAAAACTTTGATTGCACGATTTAATGAAACTGCACAATTCTGTAGCCACCAGCTAAGGAGTAATTTTGCGTACCATGGGGTGCTAAACGTTTCTCAGAAAACCGTACTCACACTGTTTTTAATGCAAGAAGTTTATTCTGTAGAAGACACCCACGATCTTCATTTAATATTAACAATAGGTGGGTGCTCGTACGAAAAACGGCTATACCCACGGTGTATTCAAGTCTAAAGCACTCTAACCGTTGGCACAGGGGAACTAATCTAGACTAACTGATAAAATAGGTCGTATATTATGGTTCTCAGAGAATCAGCTCTTTCCTTAGCGTTCGGTTTATCAGGTCGGTTAATAAAGCCATCTACCCCTTGCGAACAACTTTCGAAGGTCATCAATTTGAGCACTGAACTTATTTCAAATTGCCATCTGGTTTTTCTATCAACAGTTAGAATGACGGAGCCAAAATTTTATTCTGAACTTTCAGCTGTATGATTTCATCCGAGCATCGTGTGGCCAAAACCTATTCAATCGTTCATGCTGACAAGCATCAGATGTAAGTTCCAAAACAATAAATTTGAGATCCTCGACATAGACAGTACCAGCAATTCTTTGGTGGCCTTTTTCTAACAAGCATCCCTTTTGCCTCCTTCAGGCAAGACTGAGTTTAGAGTCTAGCATCCCCTCAGTACAGAGGATTGGTCCACCGAGAAAAACTACCCCACATTTCGGGTCTATTAATCTTGAAACGGTCTCCGCCTATGATATTTTAAGAAGCGGTATGACTTTCATCTTCCCACTTGCATCGCCAAACTTCATAGACTATCAGTAGTAGCAATGTTCAACAGCTGTTATTTCTCTGACGCTACTATGGCAACTCTGTGAGAACTTTTGAGCACATGCTCTTGTGCTTAACGATACAACAGGCAGCCATTTTTAGATGGGTGAGTTTTACGCAGTTCATGAACCCTTGAGAAGATTTTTTTCCTTTTTACCGTTGCATGGATTAATTTAGAGGAAATGATGATTAAAAATAGCCTTTCTGGCATGCCCAAGCCCTGTATTTAATAAGCAGATATTGTGCATCTGACAATGAAAATGGGTACACACTTATTCAGTTCACTTTTCAAAATAGCCTCACCTGCGGTGCTTGTCCACTTCGGTTGCACTCATAATAGTCCCCAAGACGTAAATAACTCTTGAAACTGAAGTCATCGACGGATAGCTTAGTCCCGTTGTCGCTCTTCAAGTACTGTCGAGAAGAAGTCAAAAAAGGGAAAAATTAGGACCATGGCATTTATCCGTCGACCTAGAGGTTTCAAATGTAGGTGCGGAGTTCGCATCGCTGACTGTGGCGAATGTCCGCAGTCTATGGGATACAGCCAAGAACAAAAACTCGTTACATACACCCTGCGTTTGAAGTACAGAGCTGAGTTACTCGTGTAGAATCTCAATTTTTAAGGGATTCGATTTACAAAACACCGTTTATTTACTCTAAACGAAGCAGTAGTATGAGAAAGACCTGTAAAATGAACACGGATATAAGTTACCTAAACACCTGGTTTGTGTGACTGAATGTTGCTACTGAGAAATTCAAGGTGACATGCGAGAATTTAATGTGAAACTCATCATGAAGTAGCCTCACTATCCAACAGTAGAGAAACAAACGTTTTGCAACAGGTCCTGATGTGGAAAAGCTGGAGAGCATCTATTTTTCTGTTCAATTGAGTGTTTATAAGGTTACCTTGCTTGAACCGTATGACTGAAATGTATCATATAATCAGTGATTACATTTGGAAGGTTTTACATCTTATCGGCAGATAATAAACATGGTGAATTTGAACGTTGAGAACATTGAGAAAATCTACCAGCGAAAAACATGAGCCATGTGCTATCACAGTTGGAATTATTTTCCTTCATATAAGCTGCAAAATGGGTGGCGCCAGTAGTGAACTGTGCAGATTTTTCATCGACCTTATGAGAAATCTCATTGGAAGTAAGACAGCTGTCTGCTTTGAGGAATCAATAAATACAGTGATATTTTTAAAAGTGTTAAATTTCAGCCTCATTACAACTAGAGTCTGAAGTGTAACTACAGCAGGTTCCAACGAATAATGATATGTGCATCTCCTAGATCAAATCGTCGACTGAGTGAAGTAAACATCCATCAGCCTGATGATAGCTTACAGGAAGATTTCCACAAGATAGGTAAAGCTTCAGTCTGATAAGTCATCACTCGACGAGTCACATGACCACATGATGTGGTTTCAGGATGAGTGGCGCCATTACCTGTATAAGTGCGAGTTAATCACAGTAGATATGAGCCTCTCGTGACCAAACGCTTAATCTTTCAGACTGCTAGATGGGATTCGCCGGTTCGAAACTTGCTGGAGTTTCATCGGTTGCACACTGCTGACCATTCACGACAAGAATGGAACAGCTGTACGCTGGTACCCGACTTTCAAGCATAGGTTGGCTTCACTTAGAGGATGGAATTTTAATTGAAGTTAACTTCGACGAAGAAGGGCTGAGTTCATATCGCCGGGGACTATGAATACAGGGTTTAAGGGTGGCAACAGGACAGCATATCTAGATCAAGGGCAGTTAGATATTCCCATTTTGATTCTTGTCTCTTTGGCAAGAATTAGTAGTTTGATGAATTCTCGATAGCTTGTTTGTTTTAAGGATACAATAATACCATTGACAGCCATCCATCTTTTATGGGGGTTTCTGTGTAGGAGTGGTGGAACCTTGGTGGTTCAACTGGGGTTAACAAGAACGTAGGTTATGAAGCAAAAAAAATCACCTGTTCAGTAGTTCAATCCGTCTGTGCTCTTGCTTAACTATCGCACTAGTAGAAAGGTTCAATCCTGATGTTTTGCTGACTAGATTCATAGCTGCAACATATGGAAATATCAATGCAATCGAAACGTGAACCCGTGCCTTTGTGCTCTGGGACGGCACGCATAACAGTAGTCACTAGCTCAGCTCCTCGGTGTAGCGAACTGCTGCAATATAATGGATTACGTGTTCTTACCAGGTTCTTCCTGTACAGCAGAGTAGGAAAATATTGGGATTACGACAACTAAGTGATAGCTAAAGACACTGCCCATGGGCCGCTCGCGGTTGAACATTTAAAGGTTCAACAACTGGCTGGAAGGTCGCACTTCCGAAACTCTCTGAGTTTCGTAATGGTGACTCCAATGAGGATGAAACAGCTTTACAATTAGACATGGAGTTGACGGAAACTCGGGGACTGCGCTTACCTGATGAGCTGCAAGAAGGGCGAAGCCGTAATGGGCTGTCGAAGAATTTTCAGAAAACTTGTGGGTAGTGTATTACGTCTATGCAGTACTTCTCGTACAGTACTTCTTGTCTTCTGAGCAGAGGTTGGCTTCACCAACAGGACGAAGTAATCGCCGGAAAATGTTGGCATTACCTGGCGCTTTTGTTGAATTTAACAACCAAAAGTGTTTCCACTAATCGAGTTAAAAAAGCCCCACTGGAGATCCTTTGAAACACACAAAACGGCCATGTTTTGTTTCAATTAGCTGTAAGTGAATTCGTTTTGGATAACAGCATGCACTGACACTTGACCATCTTAGACCAGGGCATAGGAAACCAAAATAGCTAACGACCCAACGGGTTTCCTTGTTGCTTGTTCGCGATGTGGCTAACTGATCCGCAGTCGATAAAACGGCAGATGGTGAACAACGGTCTTCGATTTATGGGACAAAAAACATCTTTTTTCCAAGGGCAAAGGGCGGTTTGTTTTGGGTTTTCGTCCACAACATTGTAAACTCGCCAGATGTCCATTCCTGCCCACGTAAACTCCGAATGCACCAAAGACATTGGTCTTATCGAACAAGGTGAAAAACTGTGTCGTACGTGCAAATTTTGATTCCAATTTTACCTTTTGTTTTGGGACATCACATAAAGTCAAGTATGTGTAAAACCTAGACTGGCTTGCCCCAAACGCTGCAGTCTTCATTAGCTAATGCCACCTACTTTTTGGAATAAGTAAGTATGTCAGGGGATCCATTAGCCGAAATTAATACGTGGAGATGGTCTTCGCTTCTCAAGCCCATTTAAAGCCAGTGACTAGATTTATCAGTAGAGTTAAACTTTCACTGTGCAAGAATCGATGAAAAAAACTGAAAAATATTCTTCACTTGGTGAGCTCCTCATAAATGAACAGCATGTGACAAGGCTTCGCAGTTAGTTGAAGAACACGAAGGTGGCAACTGACACTGAATCGTCATTATTAGAAGAACAAATCGATAAACGGACTGTTATGATGCTTCCAGAGTAGTGAGGGGATAGTCTACGGACTGACTGATGGATGATAAGACAGACCGCAGCAAAACGAAAGCCTTAGATTCGAATTCAGTTTTTGGGCGCACTAAGGAGAACTCGTCCAATTAGCTGGAACACTTGATATCTAACGGCGAAATCCAGGATCAAATAAGCGTTATACGATTTTTATGTCCTATCAGTAGGAATTTCCTCCCTGAACCGATAGTGAAGCCTTTGAAGACGGTAGACTTTTACATTTTATCAAACGGAGAATTAGTTGATTGCGAAAAACCACCGAATTCATAGGTATTCACAGAGCTGATCAGTGCGGGCCTATACTACACCTGTCTGAACTTGTGAGCATTCACCTCGATATCGCTTGAATCCCCACTTTCTGAGTCTATAATATCTTATTTAGATCTCTGTTGGGCGGGGTTTAGCTGATCAATGGTCTTTAATTCGTCTTTATTAATATATAAAACCTATTCGAATAGCGACATAACGGAACCACTGTTGCCAGCCGACTTTGTATTGGTTCCGAAAGTTCAGTTCACCATACCCTATAATTCAGCCATATTTTTAGGTCACACTCAAATGGACCACAAATAATCTGTCGCTTGGATTCTAGTGTCAGCTCAAGTAAAAGCTACTTTAATTGCATTTCCTCTACATAACACACTACTGATGAGGTTGCAATCCACCACCGGTCTGGCCCTTCGTAGGGCTCATCAGACGGATGTAGCCTCTGAGTCTCAGTGGAACTTATTTTCCAAATGAAAACTGAATGGTAAACCAGAAGAAACGGATGTTCAGTTGGAAATAACAGTGCTGCAAACAGAAACCTAAAATGCACATGAGTCTAGTCCACGAATCCGAGTGTGATCTGATTTTATTCAACCACTTATTTACCTGTAGTTCCTTGTCATTTTTGGTTCTACTGCCTATTTTCACCCCGTGACCTGTTCTAATCAGGCTGTACAGTTCTGAAAAGAAACCTAACAATTCTTACCGAAAGGAATGGCTAAAGGCAGCTTGTCTGGAAGAGTGGATATCGCAAAGCTTCTTCACAAAGCTATTAAGTATTAGGTCATTTGCACTTTTCGCTCGACGTAGAAGAAACCGTACTATCTATTGAGAGTTCTGGGTGTTGTGTGCACCTATAAAGTTCACTATCTGACACTACAGTTTATGAGGCGCAACGGATCACTTGCCGGTCGAAGAACGTCGCTGCTACCGATGCTTTCGGTGCAAAAGCATATCTCAAAAATTGCATTCGCGAATTGAATCCTACGGTAATGCCATGAATATTAACCTAAAACGCTCAGTCCGCTGTTAGCATAGTCACCGATGAAACACCTGAACCATAAAAGCAACTTAAGCCTTAGCTAGTTGGCTACCTTGACACTCATATTTATTGTGAACAACGTTAACGTAACGGTAATTTGCCTGTTGTTGATATATGTACCGACGTGATTCGTCGGAAATTGGCCACAAATACAGGTAAAGATATCTTGACAATTTTAAAAGGCAATTTTTTAAACCCCATGACTGACTAGATAAAACTGAGAAGTTGATATCACTATCCTGTTTACGAGTGGTACTAATTGAATACTCAGAACATAGCACTGAATCGCACATAGAAAACTTAGAAAAATGACATCGTTGGCGAGTGTTCTTTTCGTCCCAGTACACAAAGTTTACAAAACAGTTGAGTTTTTCAATCGATCGAGACCTTTTCTCTCCTCCCCGATCAGCCATAGTATTTGGATCTGCCGGATCTAATCGATTTTCGTTCAACTTGACTTTATCGCGTGGGACTCCTACTTGGCCTGCAGATCGCTGACGAATGTTTTACTTTGACAAAGTCTCTGATTTTGATCCAGTCAATTTGTTGTTCGCTATTTAAAATCCGAAAATCCGCTGCGATGCTCAGATAATTCTTCTCAAAACTGATTTCAGATGTAGTGGGAGGGTTTGGGTAATGTGGGTTGTTATTTTCCTACTGAAAATATCACAAAAGTCTGAGCGGGTAATTTACCGACTGAAATGATCTGACCGTTGGAAATGTCTTTTTTAAGATGGAAGTAAGTGTAATTAAAAAAGCATCAATGAGGAGATCGAAATTCGGTCAGTGAGCTGTCATGCAAGTTGTGACCGATGTAAACTCCATGCCGGTCATTCGAAGTAGGCCATGCTTGTGTAGTCCATTTGATACGGCCAACCTGTCGAATGTGTCGCGTGAGCAGCTAAAGTTTAGGCGTAGCCTCCCAATAAGATTTCTAAAATGCGCAGCTGGTCCATGGATTCCGCTTCCGCTTTTATAACTCACCAGTATTTGTGGCCACCGCCTGAGACTGCTGTTGGTGTTCGTCGGAACACGACAGTTACTTTCCTGTAGGTGCCGTCGGTGTGGAATCCTCACTTTGTCAGTGGAGCCAGTCCTCGGTTGGGCTGCAAGACCTGAGCTCAGTGGCTGTAGCCTATTTTCCATAAATTGTGTTGGATACGCCCTGCTTCTTAGCGTTCCGATAAAATGGTAACCGCAATCCTGAGTGAATTCGGACCGATTCAAATTTACTCAGTTTGATGGACAAATGGGGCAAATCACCGCCATATTCATAGGTAATGGCAGAGCAGAGTTGAAGATTAGACAGCTGTTTCGCTCGATTGATCTATCATGTATTGGAACACCTAGTGAGTTTTCGTCAAGTAAGTGAAAGAAGAATAAATCACCAGCTTCTTACCTCACGTATGCTGTCCAGATTCCAAAGGCGTCGGCCACAGGGTGTCACATAGATGACTTCCCCCAGAATACCACCAGGACCAATACCCTTAACCAGGGTCTCGCGACGCCATCTATTCAAATAAAGTAGAGCGGAAAGCCTGTTGTCAACTTTACATATACTATATATACATATATATAGTGCGAGGGGACTTATGTAGTGTGTCCAAACGTTTCAACCAAGTGGCCGTTTATTAACGAACAAGCAGATCAAAAACGGTTTCTCTTCCAGCGTAGGAGGTTTACGACTTAATCCGCTCCCATCCCAAAGTTGATGAAGAGCTGTCAGTGGGAAATAACAGAGTGGTATGAATTTCAGGATTGTCGACGTAGCACTAACCGTATTGCAAGACCGGTGATTGCTTAGACTCTGCGTTTTACATTTAGAGTAAAAATTTATATTGCTGAGTAATTATCTCTGAAAAGACCAAACAACTTGAGTGAGCCAATGGGAAGTGGAATCTTGAAACTTCGAAACGACCAACTGTGATCTGAACCATTCGACCACCCTGGGCCGGTAAATAAGCAGCGCGATTGGACCAAACAAATGAGTGATGAAGCAAACGTAGTAGAGACATGCCGTTTGAGGTCTGCTGCAGCTCAGTCGTTTTAAACACAATGAATCTGCAACAAACCACACATAAATAGTCCTGAAGTCATCCGGTTTTCTGAAGTAAGTAGCGTCTGCAATTGCTTAGAATCCACAGACAGTCCATATGCTTTTCGCCCTGTTTCAGGCTCTTCAAGCGGACATAAATCCCGAAATCTGAGACAATCAATTCCTGACTTGAATAACAGTTGGACCACTCTCATCAATCCGGAGTTAAACTATTGTAAAGTCGTACTTAACCCGAAGAACATAGCCGGCAGTCACACCGCTAAAGAGCGGGTGTTATACAAGGGAATGGAGTAATTCTCAACCACGCAGTCAGTTCAGAATGCGCCACGTACCACTCAGAAATAACTACTCTAGCCCCTGGAACAATTTGCACTATACCTCACCATACTTACCAATCTGTAAGCAAAACTTCATTTAAAAAATATATCTTAATGATGGTAAATAATAGTAGGCTTCTTTTCTCTCTTTCAGGCCTAAGATCTTTATCATGCCATAGTATTGGCATGGTTGAAGACCGAATAATTACGTTGATTGAGACCAGAAACGAATTACGGGCTAATGGTAGTAACAAAATATGTAACTAATTTTTCACCCGGCAAAGTCAAAACTGATACAGAACAAGCAAACCGCTAACGTCACCTAAAGTTAAACTGTGATGAGTTCCCGACAGTGCATGGTAAGCATTTGAAAAGGCTAAGTGATCTGATAAATTCTGGAACTTTTTCAGTAACGTTATTATCTGCAGTCGAAATAAAGCTGTCTGTTCAGGCACTGTTTCGTGAGCACACATACTTAGACCACCAAAGGCGGTTTAGACTGATCCATCGTTTAAATCATTCGGTACCCCCGGGTCAGTAGCTGTCAATCAAACCAGTAACCGTACCGAAACAAAACGGTGAACAGGTTAAGCGAATCGATCCACAGGCCAGATTGCTTAGGTGAATGTAGCGATCGATAAACAACCGGTACAACTTGGCACGTTGCTTGTACATGTGTGTCTGTGAATGAATGTGCCGTGTCTTTTTCGTCCACTGGTTTATCATACATCGAAAACACGATTTGAAGAAAAGGAATGCACCATAATATGGTCTGAAGAAGCATTAAACATGTGTGGGTCGATTGACTTAAGATGTGCACCTATCCACTCCCATATAGCTTGAGAGCTAACGATATTTAGTTGTCCGAAAACACTACGGATTAGGTGCCAGTACTCTCGGTTTCAATACTAAGATTTAACTCCTTGAATACTTAGTGGTTCTCATTCTTCTCGTATATCCAATGCATTGTTGCATGTGATAGGTTCTGAGGGGAAACTTCCTTTACACGTTCGACACCACAGACATTATTCTTTAGGACTCTGACGGTAAAGTTGAGCAAAAAGACAGGTAAGCTAGAAGATCTCCAGAACTGGATGCAATAACTAACGCTTTTGAAGATAATACTCTGGGCAGCGACGTATTTCGCTTCGAAGATTTTTATTTTTATTTTCTGTTTCCGTGATTTATGGGAGCCCTACAAAGGCTTTCGTACATGAAATGATGTCCAACAAACACGCCTACTCTCTGTATTCTCATGGAATTTTTTTTATCAACAGGATAATGAGGCGAAAACTGGAGAGTCTTCCGTGTCCAGTTGGGAGTGCGCGAGCGGAGAGGTGGATATCCTTTGACCTGACAGAGGGGTGTCAAAGCGATTGCTAACAGTCTGGTTAATGTCAATGTTACTAGCATTCCAGGATGGTGCCCGCGTGATTCCCACTGTGTAAATGCTGCGACATACGACCGGAAACCGACGTCAATGGAGTTCTTGTCGTAAAGTTCTATCCAGATTTTCTGAATGAGCGTCTGGATGTGTAAGCACCCCGGAACAATTGTCGTAACTTGGCACTAGGCACTTGCTCATTCACTTCCATTCTTCTCCTCACAATAGGGATTTCAAATAAGTTGTGAGCCTTTAAAAAGCAAAAAACCAATAATAAAACAATAATGACTATCGCTCAGCCGTAACACCCTTTCGGTGCGTAGCTGCTATGCCACCTGAAGGATGATGAGGGCTGCACCCTTTCGGTGCGTAGCTGCTATGCCACCTGAAGGATGCATGAGGGCTGAGATACTTCCGGGTTACCCAAGCCTTGACAGAAGTGGTCCAGATGTTGGGTTTGGTTTCGAACAAGAGGCCTTCTGGCGCGCCTTAACCAATGAGCTATCTAGAGCCCCACCAAAGCTGGAGTGAACCAACCCGATCGATAATTTCATATTTCAGTGGCCACCGATGTCATTCATTTCGTTCTTGAAGATAAGGTTTGCGTGAACCGTCCACTCAAAGTTTAAAGGTGATCGTATAATGAAGTAAATTAAAATTACTCATGAACAAAGAGAAGTATGACTTTGGCGAAGAAAATGCTCTAGCACTGTCATCACCTTCTTGAGATGGACAACAAACTGAGTACCATGTTGTCTGTTTGCGATATACACTTATCCGTGGCATTACAGTGTGTGTGAAGTACACATTCAGTGCATGTACTCTTATTATGCTTACCCTAATGCAAGTGGACGCCGTAGGTTGGAATCCGCGGAAGTGCTTGTGCGAATCCGTTTGTTCCCTGTAAAAATGGAAGAAAATGCATTTTTGGTCACTGATACTCCAATCAATTTACTCAGGCATCCCAAATTGTGACCGAACTTACCTGAGTGCATGTATAATTCACCGGGTTCCCCGCGATATCTAGTATTGGATAAAGGCAGACCGACGAGAGCGGAAGAGGTTGCAGTTGAAGTGCCTGGCTCTTTGCGTCGCTTACGATTCAAGGCAATACCAAGTGCACTGGAAGCATAACGATTAGCGACGATGGCTGGATCGTGATCGCAAGCAGCCAGGTATCTAAGTACTTCGTCAATCGTATCATCCACGCTGCATTCGTTTGCGCTTGTTGTACTCGAAGGACGACGTCCGTAGACACTGGTTGTCGTTTCGGACGAACTTGGTTTGTATGATTCGTGTTCATCCTGAACAATGAAATGAAATTATTTTACACATGCCGAGGCTGAAAAATGTCACGAGTCTGTTTGGCCAGATGAAAGGGAAACACGTTAGGGGCCATTCGACGGATTTTAAGTACCGAAAATGTGACTACTTCTTTGTCACTTTGCAAAAGAGCTGACCGGCGGCAACAACGGTCAACCTCCATTTTTAATTCCGGCTAAAGACATTAATCTGAACAAAGCACAACACCCCTTGCTCTTTGAAGAGTCTATCCTTGACTTCACCTATAAGTCTATTCAGCGATTTTGAGTAACCTCCCACCATTTTCTCCCGCTACTGTACAAATTTCAGTCATAAAACCAGTGAACTACTAGAGTAGCTGTCGACATTCACGATAAATTTGCACAAAGAAAGTTAAGATCATGGTTATCACCTCACCGTATTCGAGGGACAACGCTCTTCAAGGGTCAACAAGGCAACAGAACTGCTACGTAAATTAATGCTTGTCGGGTAAGTTCGGCTGCTTTAGTAGAGTCCGCAGTCTTTCAAAGGTCTCGATTACCTATTTTATATCAACCTGCATAACAACTAGCGTTTGTATGACAGGCCGGGGCTTTATACTGTTGATTTTCTTATGCAAATTCACCAGGCACAATAATTAACTTGATATTGAATACCATTCACACAATGGAACTCCGTCTGCAACCATCACCGCAACACCATATGACCGAGTTCTGCACGCGCAAGCAGAGTAGGCATAGTTCTAGACTGACATGGAAACTAAACGACGTCTTTAGGAATACGCATAGTTGGTCACGACACACGGGCTATCAACTCTCTTGACGGGTTTTCTATAGAGGAGATTGTCGGTAGCTCAGGTAGCGTAGATGGTCGTTGGCTTGTTCGCTGAGCTGGGCAATTTGGTTGCAAACGTTTCGTCACCAATCGAGGTGACATCATCAGTGTGTAGTTGTGCGTAGCGTAGGGCACAACCACTAACCCACCGCTACGCACAACCACGCACTGATGATGTCACCTCGATTGGTGATGAAACGTTTGCAACCAAATTGCCCAGCTCAGCGAACAAGCCAACGACCATCTCTTGACGGGTGCTGCGTGATAAGTCTAAACTGCAGATCGCTAGATCAAGTGCCATTGGGTACTCTTAATTGATTCCACGCCTCAATAAGCATTAGAGATTCAGTCAAATTCAAGCGATCGCCTGTTTTTATGATTACGGTGTGAAAATCTGAAGTACCAGAAGCCAAAGTGATCCACAGACCTCTATGTGTTCCCGTTTTCATTACTTATTAGGTGTGTACAACAATGAAGCAGCAAGTAAAGTGTGTTCAAAATATTATGGACAGTGCTCATTTGTCTCTAACCGGCGGTAACATCCGATGTGGTAAGGACCTACGGTCATTAGCTCTTTATGTCAGAAGATCTGTGCATCCGACCGTTCACTCCCTTCACACCTGCACCTCACATTCTGATCCACCTGCTATTAGAAACAACTGTCGGCGGATTTGTTTTCTCGTGCACCTGCCTATAGACCAACATGTCTGTCATGCACCGTATGTGTCGTTCTGGTTCACAAAATTATTGACATGAAGACAGCGTTTTTGTATCCATTACATTCCAGAAGCAGGACGCTCCAGTGTAAGCATTCGATACTGAGCTCACTGAGGTGCGTGAAGTCTGGTTACCAAGGTTTCTTGGGTTGTCACTGCCAAGAATAATGGAAATGCGAAGGACGATCGGACCAGAAAAGTGCATTTTTGGGAACAGTCTAAATAGTGGACTGTTGGATGAGAAGTGATTCAGTTAATGGATTTTAGATGGTTGACAATCTGTCTGGCAATTTTTATACACCGGGCTTTTATCCATTCATGACAAGTGATCTGCCAAAATTTTCGGTTCAAAGCGAATATCACTGGGTATTTTTAGGAAAACTGGATGCTTGTCATCCATTTCATTTTGGCGTATTCCACCGGCTGGATTCGCAGATTGATAACTTTTCGTCACCGACTGGTAAACGAAAACGGAAGAAAGACCGCTAATTTAATGAATATCCTTATGCCTGGACGAACGGTTTTTCGTGATTAGCAGGCAATTCTGGTTCTACCAGTGAGAAAACAAGGCATCTTGTTTGAAGCTCCAGGGTGTAAGCAAGTGCAACACATTACTTGACAAACGCGTTGGTGAAAATTTACACTAGCCAACTAGAAGGCAGCTAACGTGCTGTCCAGTATACCAGATTTCATCCAAGTTGGGAATTTTAGCGTTAGACCACTTAGCGTAATTCACATGTTCTTCCAAGCGTAGTGTGCGGCAGGATAATTGGCCCATCTACTCAAACCAAGTATTGGTGGTGTTTGCTTAATCTAAAAGGTCCGAAGTCCTATCCTCGACTACTTACCTGGGAATTAAACGATGCGCAACTGGTTGTCATGTGAGAAGATTGTTTGTGGCTGTTCTGATAATGCATCGAACCGGCGGCTGACTTTGGAGGTCTCCCACGACCTCGGTGACGTGTGGGGCTAGGAGGTACGGGCTGCTCCCAGGTTGCGCTTTGAGCTGACCCACTAAAACTGCCTCCTCTTGTGCGTGAGTTCGACCCGGCACGACCAGAGCGTCTTGCGATGGGACTTGACGTTGACATACTATGCTGTTTGGGGTCGAGTGGTGTTCTTAAGTGATTCGGTGTCTGAAAGGGGAAACCAGTGTTTAAAAAAAGAGGATGAGGGAACTGAGGGTGACACAAGCTTCTTTTCGGATATTTTTCACATCATAGTGACAGTCATATAATATATGGTATAGATGGGTGACACTGACCGTCAATGATCACAGTCGGCACTCACTGATAAGCTAGTGTTAAAGCCGACCGATAACTTGCAACAGGCTTCCGCAGGCTCGCACATCGTATACATCCGTGTAAAGGGGCTTGCACAGAACATCACTTGCGGCCCCGCACAAACCGTCCGTGGTTGTCCAACTGTGAGTAGATGTCCGGTGTTGCAGCTCCAAGAGCCAGCAAATTTGTCTAGAAAAGTTAGACTGAAGGATCTTAAGAGATCAGTTTTCCATCGACAGAATCACTCATTCCTCTCACAGAATTTAATGCGTCCAAGGTTTATCATATTCCCTGCTTCAATATTACCATCTATCCGGGATCTCGCCATTTGTCACGGTGCTGTTGACGTATGTAATTTTGTCCATACGTCCTTCCTTCTATCAATAAACTAGACGGTTTTACCTAGTCAGTAACTTCTCATGTTACTACCTCAACTTTCTTCTGTCAGTCTAATAATCTCTCCTGAATACTAAAAACACCAAGAATGTAGGCAAGATGACCCGATGGGTCGTTCTGTGTTTAGTGTTGATTGTAACACTAATGTTTTAGCGTTTTACTTAGAAGTCAGTCTCGGCTTAACTTCTGTTGATTGGTTATTCTACAGGGTGTGTAACCCAGTCTTTTATGGAAGAAAATTTCCATGCAACACAATTAAGTAGAAGCCTTCTGCCAGCCAATTAATAACCATAATTAACAGCACACCTCAATAAAGCACAAAGTCGGTTGCTTTGCGGCTGTAGTGGGTAGAGGATTGTGCATACCAAGTAAATGGCATACCATGAGGCATTTGTCCGCGATGTTGGTAAACATTCAAACAGATGTTGGCCTGTTGACTTTTTTCGCCAATGTCTCGGTAGTACAGAGAAACAGAACACACACGAAGACCATATTATTCTTTCACAATAATTTAGTCGAAGACTTTCATTAATATAATCTTTACCATCAGGTATGTGTTATTTTCTTCCAAAAAATAACAGGAAAGGAGCGTATTGCGCACCATTCCGGAGTCTCTGTGGCTGGATTGAGCTAACTTGCTTTTCTGCAAAAAGGCTTGCTCGGAAATTGGAGTGGCCCAAAAAGCTTTTATTCTCGTACAGAGCTACTTACGCGGTCTGGTGAAGGCTTTGGTGTGTTCAGGCACTGACTCAAGAATGTCAGGACATCATTAAATGACTCAGTCGGTCCCGCACAAGATGGTGACGAAACGGACGTGGATTGATGTGGCCCGTTACCGCTGGAACCAAACGATCCGAAAGTTGGTAGCTCATAATTCATGCCACCGGACAGGATCGGAGGTAATGGGACGGCTGGTAGATTTGATTGGCCTAAATAGTAAAGTGAGAAAACGTGTATGCTTCTAATGCAAATGAATTATGAAACATTAATAGCCAACAAGCTGCTGGGCAAAGAGATATACACATATATATGTACTCATGCATGGGTGCCGTCCGCAACAGATTTTCCGGTCACCAGTAGTCTGCGCGTAGTAAGAATCTACAGACGCTTTGTGCTGAACCTAAGATATAATGTAGCCGGTTTCGTGATATTCTCTGACCTAAACGGAACACCTCTGTGAGTTTTAAGTTTCGTCTTCTTACTTTAGTGTCTTCTGATTGCTACGATGGAAATAACCATGAATGACGTACGGATGTTGGATGTTGGATTCGAACCACGGACCTTCCGGTCAGTAAGTTTGCGGCCATATCACTAAGCTTTCTCAAGGTCTCGAGCGCTAAACCAGTCACACTACTAGCCTATTTTGTCCCCTGTCTTTGACTTAATTTGTCACTTTGAGTATAGCAAATGTTTTGCGAATCTGATCCCATCATATGCTTAAAAAAATTAAACAGAGCTCAACCTTCAATTTAGACGGCAGGCCATCAGATATAAACTATTTTTTTTCAAGGAGAACACACAACCAAGGCAAACATGGTCATACATTGAGGTTTTAGCGACACAATGAATCTGGAACGTTGGAAATTTTCAGTTATTTGGTTTGTGAAAAGATCTCTGCACTAAAGTTGAACGTATTCAAGTCCCACGAGGTTAAAAATGTAGAACTTGAGTCTAGCTGGTCACATTTTAATTTCAGCAGCAGAAATTGAGTGACCGTCAGCTGCATTTCCTTTTACGCTCATCCTTGTAATAAGATTAAGATTTTTCGAATGAGTATTGCTCGGTGTGGTTGACTCACGTCCCAGTTTGAGCCGGTTATAAGGCAAAGGCAACCAACCACTTTACGACACGTGCTTCAGTTCTCGCCACATCATTTCTAAAATGTCTTCCATAGAAAATGACAATCAATGGCCATTAGGTCTTTTAACCCGGTTTTCAGCAATCAAAGTTGATTCGTTTGATTAATCAATGGTAGATGTCAAAAAATAAATATATATGAAGTTCACTGACAAACAATGGTGTCTCAGTAACACCACTAGTAGCTTCCGTACCTGTCTCGTTTTCGTCAAACGCTGTCATTATGAAAAAACTGGATAGGTTACGACACTATCGACCTCTGCGGATCTTTTCGACTGTTGGCATCCGGAATTTCAAAATATTTCATTAGTCACAATCGTCCGGTTAATGTGGGATCAACTTTGTTGTTCACAAGAAATTTCATAGCGTTATGTGATGAATCGCAAGAAGTATGGTTTGGACTAACTGAGAAAATCGGGACCCTTTAGACGTGTGCAGTCGCTTTCGCAGTTGCTTACCCCCGGAATCATCGTTTCCATACACTTCATACTGAGTTTAACCGAAGTTTAACCGTATCATTCAAAATCTAATCCTAATTTTTGTCTTCAATCCATGCATGCTACAGACGAGTTTGTTTAATCCTCCTACAAGCAAATAAATTGCTATGGATGCAATGATCACGATAGGGATTGAAGCTCGGAATTGTTAAAATCTCACTCCGAGTTTGTAGTTCGTAGCTGTGTAACCTAAGAATGTACTGTCGTTTTTTCATCTTACAGCCAAATGAAGTTTACCTACCATAGAGTTCGATTGAAAAGTCACAAATGATCTACCGCCGTGGCTTCAGTTGCTGTGATTTTCCCCCTAGAATTCTCTCCTATTCTCAAGTTGTGCAAAAAACTGAGCCTCCCGACCAATCAGGATTTCAAGCTCTCACATGACACGGAATAAATAAACAACACTGAATAACACAATAAGTAAAACACACTAAATAAATGAATAACGCTAAATAACACATAACTAAATAAATACAATATACGCGGTTAAATAACTTGTCTCCTTCACACTTGAATCCAGGAATGCATGAGTCCTATGCACTATGGTCAGCGAAGCGGAATTTCTCGCTCCGGAGATTTTGAACATATATATCCTTGAACATCTCCGAATCTCATGTGCTAATTAAGAGGCTTTTTCGTATATAGACTACGTGTTGGCTTGTTATATACAACCATATACAGATTTTGGGTGGGTCCTTTGTTTTCGCGAACGTGGGGGCTTATCAGCAGTGTTCACGAACATTATCCACTAAGCAGGTCTCACTACAGTCTAGCTGTCAAAGGTTTTCCCTGCATCCATCACGAATGGTGAAGATTTAGGTGCCCAACTCCAACGGAATCAGACAAACTGTTATTTTTTTCTAGACTGAGGGCACTACTCATACATCAGTGCTGATCTCAATCCAAAAGACGGAATTCCTTATCCTTGTGCAACGGCTGAATTCTCGGCATGCCACAGCTCGAGTGTAGGTTGGGATGGATTTCGACCGTCAATGAACATTTCTTCCCGCAATTGAAGCCATTCAAACCAAAAAACACTGCACAACTGCTTCGTGGGTATTGGGAACAATCAGCGGTGCGTATCCCATGAATGACCAGGGAGTTTCAAACCTGTGAGATTCTGGTTAACTGTTTAAACACTTAACCGTTCGGCGGTTGAGTATTCTACATTGAAGTAAACATCCACTATAACCATGAGGTTGAGTTTACGGTTATTCACATCAAACAAAGTTACTTCCTTTGCATTCTGAATCGCTGACACACTTTACGATTGGTACCACCGTTGCAGAAACTAAAACTTGCTTCCAGTGAACCTTCATAAACTACGGCTGTGTTATCTCCATTGGAGGTGTGGCCCGTGTTACTCACAAGAGGTCGTACGTTGGAAAACCTCACGTCGTTTCAAGAAAAATCTTGCATTTAGAACCCGTAATGGAGTACACATCCCCTATACCTACTGGTTTAGCATTCTGTATACCTCATATTGTGGAATTAATTTAAATCCAGGCACGCACGCATTCTACTGACCTAGACGGACAGCTGATGACTTTTGATATATTAACACATATCTCGGTCACACATATCTATGTCCAAGGATATCGCAGTTGTGCTTTTATAGATGTATCTTTCACTAACCCATGTTTGACATGCGCGCAAGACTTTACTTACTGGGAGGATTTCATATCGACAAGACATCCCCGTAGAGCCAACAGAGGTCTTTTATTTTGGAACGGTAATTCTCAGTAGGTTACGTCAACAAATTTATCACTGAATAATTCATTTAATTGATATAGGAAAGAGTACCTCTGTATACTCTGACGATAAAACACTTCACGCCTGCGTAGGATCTAGTTTGGCCTCTCTCGACTGGACAGAACCGGCCTGGAAGCAAATTTCACTGTGTAGCAATTTCGCTAGCATTAAATATGCGAGCAGTGTGAGACCCCACAAGCTTATTAGTTACATTATTAGCTCATTGTAAAATACTTGGTAAAGGTCACTGCGATTTGGACCGATGTTTGGTTTGACGTTTCGGCGACTAAGGTGAGTACACCGAAAATTTCACAAAAATCTCGGCAAAGAAAACCATTGAGCCAAGTGTCTCGTTTCATGTGTACAATGCTTTTACGATAGGCGTAACTGAGTTCACTATATGTTATCAGCTGTGAACTAAGCGATAAATGGTAACAGGATACCGTCGGCAATCATTCCGGTGATATTCTATGGTTTGACGATTGGAAAGTGTCAATATCCTTGCCCGAATCGGGGATAAATGGTCAGCATAATTTTCGTTGAAACAGTGGGTAAGGAGCTTATGAGTGAACCTGTACTATTTGTGCGCTGTTCTCAGTAATACCAACCGAACTGAGGTAAAATGGCATTTTGAAAATCTACATAATGCTTTCCAACTTATGCATGGAAAGGTGTGGGTGAATCTTTTTAGCCGTGTCCAACACCAATAGAATGCATGCAACTGACGTTCATTTTCATACTCCACAGCCTCAGCTGCCTTAGTTTGTCCATTATAGAGTGCTGGACGGCTTAAATACAGACTCATAAACGCACTTGGTGCATTCCCCTCTCCCTTGGGATTGTGATCCCTGTTCCCTACAAGATGTCACGGTAAGGAATGCAAGAACGTTATACTGCAATAACAATTGCTGGTAGCCACTCCACCTAGTGGAGCCTACTACTAGCTGCCTCTACGAGGCTGGGTTGGGTACCTTCTGATGCACATTCGTGTAGCGACATAGTGAAGTGTGCTGACACTATAGCGAACCTCATTAACGCCTAATCTACTATCCACATTGTGAGCGATAGTGGTCAGATTAAATCCAGAAATTACAATGCGGGTTTTATTGTTGAGCTGAGATATTTTGCGAGCGTATACACCGCGCGTACAGTACCAACAAAGAGAGCATAAAGAGCAACATAGGTTTCGTGTATTTTAAGACAACCAGTAGATCGATAGAAGGACGGAGTTCGACTACGAAGACTGTCTCAATTATAGGCTTGCGATTTTGAGAAGGTTTATTTGGTTATGACTTATGATCTGATATGGAAAGTTTTGCCTGCTCGCGCAGTTACGATGCTTGATATCCTTTCACCCTTCTTAGTCGTCCAGCGTGCTATTGTCATGTCTATGTTGTGACTGCATCAGTTTCTCACTTTTGCTTTCCCATGAAGTAGTTTTTTGTTACAGTAAAGTTGAGTTTTATGGCCTATTTTTATATACGGTCAACAATCTACCTGCAAGGCTGCTTCCCGAGGCGTTCTTCATTCCACCGCATGCAGCAGCTATGGCCATCATCATTGCTCGTACATACGCCAGATTGGTTGCAGCACCTGCAGAATCAGCACGACTGGTGCTATCCAACGCACCACCTGCACGAGCAGATGTTGATGTCAAAAAACTTTCAAGATAACCCGGCGGAAATCCGGATAAGCTTGCTTCTCGGGAAAGTGCTGCAGCAAGTGCCATTGAAGCTTGTTGTTGATGTTGCTGTTGTTGTTTCACCTGGCGCTGGTAAGATATTTGTGCGCCGGCTAAGGACTGGAGCATTTGATTGGCCAGAATAGTCTCGGGATTCAAACATCCACTGCTGTCAGTGTCTTCCGGCCTCTTTGAAGAGTCTGTATTCCTGGGATCACTCTTAGCATTGGACTGCTTAGCGAAGCATTGTGTGTCAGAATTGTTTGCAGTAGACAAACTGAGGCTGCTCTCCTTCATGCGGTTTTCAACTGACGGAGAGGTGAAGCGACCCGCTAAATGAATGCAGTATATATTGTATGAGATCGAAAACAGAAAAAGTATGCGGTAAATCACAAAGCCAACAGGTTTTAGAGAGAGAGACAACGAATTTTTAGTACATCATCTATAAATGTTTCCCTTTTTCAATCGCTTTTGCTTCAAAATACGGAGGTAGGAAGTTGCACACAGCGACTTATCAGTGACCATCATATCGTCTTCTCCTTCCTGTTATTTATTTTTGTTTTATATAGACCTCGTTTAACTCGAATTTTGTTTGAGGCAACCAACTTATATTATCACCTATTGAAAGGTACCACCAGTCAGATCACTCCGACCAATGGTCAATTGGGATACACCAATCCATTGATTCGCGTTTCAGTGCACATCGGTTAAAGGGCGATTGTTGCTTAGAGGACATATTCACATAATCACGCCAGAGTAAACAAATCGAACTTGACTGGGTATTTTCCCATAATCATTTCGTGTTATGTGTACTTCAATGGACTACTGTTCTACTACAGATTCCATATTCACTGATATCTTTACGGTCAAACACATGAACTATCATTCTGCCTTTTTGTGGAATGTCAACGACCTAAATTAAATTCAGTTTTCTCCTGCAAAGGGATAACTTGGAATGATTCAATGAGAAGTCGATTCTTTTAAGAATGCGTTCCGGAGGACTCCCTCGTAGAATGATA